ATGGAACTCGTGTAGTATGGCATATTTCACGCTCTTACGCAATAAGGAGCTTAAAATGAGAGACAGCAAATCATTCGATGCAAAAGTGCAACCTTTACCTCTTATCCAATCAAAATGAATGATACATTACTAGAACCGTTGAACCTGCTAAAATTTGATATGCGAGATGGTGCAATTCGCTCACCGAATCACTTCTCCAGCCATGATAAGTATGGAGCGTTGACAAATTTTGGGCGAAAATCGGTTTACCTTCATAGAGAAAGTGTCGTGAAAGTTTTTTTTTGAACATTTTATAGCAAAAAAGTGCAACCTTTTCCCCATGAATGAAATTGTTTCAAATGTATATCATCTTAAAGAGAAAACGTTGAATTTTAAAATACCGGCCTAGAAGGTATTTAAAGTGGGTTCAAGTAGGCTGTTGCTGTGATTTACACACTAAGAAAAAATGGTGCACGTATGCACCTTTAGGGGTGCAAACCGATGCAATACTGGCAGCATCTTTAGGGGTTAAATCCTGCACCATTTTTAAAGGTGCAATCCTGCACCCTTTACAAGGGTGCCAGATTGAACCTTTTAGGGGACATGTTATTACCCTTTATGGTTCAATCCTGCACCTTTAGGGGTGCAAACCGATGCAATAGTAACACCTTTAGGGTTTCAGTCCTGCACCCTTTAAAAGGTGCAATCCTTCTCCCATACTCGAGGAATACTCGTAAAATTTGCTCGTACATAAATACATATTAAACATGCATGTTGTTTCTTGGTTAGTAATCATAGAATCAATATATCTATTGCTAAAATGTGAATAAAATTGTAACGTGATCAGACAAAAAAATCTATTTGTTTAATGATTGTCGAAGGAAAATAAACAAATCACAAAATTGATGTGCATTGTCCTTATTTCCTTAACAAATCATGATAAATGTATTTGTATGTGAACACGTGTAAAGTAATCATGAATATGCATGCAATATGCAAACTTTGCACCCTTTTTGGTCGATTGGGTTCATTTTTGTTGAAAGGGTGCAAAATCTTATATTGCACCCTTTTTGAACCCCTTTTCCTTCAAAAGGGTTCATTTTTATGTAAAGGGTGCAAACTCTTATTTTGCACCCTTTTTTTCTTAGTATGTAGCGTAGGTAATGCATGAAATGGTAAGGAATGTCACGTGTTGTAGCTCACGGTGCTGTGCGTGCCGAGCAGATGAACCAAAGTTTTTCATATGATTTTTGTATGTGTGTGTTTTGGAGGAAACCGCCCCCCCTCAAGTTTTTAAAATAAAAAAGTGACCAAAAACAAAGATAAATATATCCTTAGCTGAACTGCGAGAATATCTTTCGTAAAATATCGTAAGCAATCATATTGAGTTGCAATCCTCAAACTACAACAACAAAAAGGGGGAAAGAAGAAAAAAGATTTGAGCAAAATTGTCATGGCCCTTCGACTGATATTAATACTGTGTTTATTCTGTGGCATTTTCCTCCAGAGAAACCTTGTTTAGTCCCAAGGAACATAGGACCGGTTCGCCAGTTTGTGAATGGTGATGCGAGGAGGCCAATAACTAGCTACTATACCCTTCCCACCTTACCCGCTGGCACCCAGCTAGTTGCTAGGTGTAGAGACCCTGGAATGTATAGATTGATTGGCGATCAAAGACGAACTTGCCAAGAGGGACAGTGGACCGGGGAAGAACCAGAATGTCGTGAGTATTAAAGCGCTTCAACCGAAAAATTTTGAGCAAATTAGAATCGATAGAAGGGTAGAACAATAATCGCCTATTTGTTTCTTTGGTTTATATACTGACTTTCAGCAAAGCATACTATTCTTTGGACAACGTTCGTTCCTGATTTTTTTTCTAGCCTGACAATTATTGTTTTATTTCTATTTGTTTCTTTGGTTTATATACTAACTTTCAGCAAAGCATACTATTCTTTGGACAACGTTCGTTCCTGATTTTTTTCTAGCCTGACAATTATTGTTTTATTAAAAAAAAATCTTCTATTTTGACCTTTCAGTAAAATACTTCAAGCCCTCTTAACAATATACAAAAGGGTCTCACCTATTTGGCTTTACCCATCATGCAATATTCCAGCTTCTGGTTCCTCTGCCCTTTGTGCGCCAAACATCATTATCATTAGTGGGGCTGCGTTATAATGCCCCTTTCACATACACGGATTTTTTTTTACGAGTTATTACGGATCGCCAACTTGTAGTCAATTGCAAGCATTCGTAAATAACTCGCATAACCTCTTAAGGAATCGTGAAAGGAGAGGAAAATTTGTTGACATGTCAAAAATCTTCTTACGATTGTCCACGGATTGACTTTTCTGTAAATAATTCGTAACAATCCGTAAGTATCGTAAAGCGCTCGTAAACCGCTCGCAACAACACGTAACCTTCCGTACACTGCTCGCAAGAATCCGTATTTTTTTTGGAAAGATTTGTTACGGCTTGTTTACGATTTATTTACAGATTATAACGAGTGCTTACGTGTTGTTTACGATTTCATCGGGTAGTGTAACGATTACTTTACGGATTGTTACGAGTTATTACGCGCGGGAAGTATGCGCAGCCAATGCGCAAATTGTTAACAAAGTAGTCATTAACTAGTCGTGAACATGCGTGCACTGGCACCAAAATGCAGGAAAGTGTCAACGAGGCAAAATTTGAGAGTGATTCGACTACACTTTAAACCCGACGCTGGGATTCAGCTTTTGTCAGGGTCCCGTCTAATAAAGAGTTGATATTAATCGCAACTATGTTAATAAGAAACAGGAGACAGCAACCTTGCGATTGATTGGAGGACTTGTGATGGATCCAAATCACTTACAATTCTTTATGACACGGGGCCCAAGTCTAACAATCGAAGTAAGTCCTTTTCTATGCGATTTTGGATGTCAGGCCGAAATCACCTGAATAACTACGGGCCATTTTGATTACTCTTTACCTTATAGCTGTGTAGTTTACTCATTTATGTTGCAAATGAATAAGAATGTATCAATTAATCAATTACCAATCAATGGTTCGATGTTGTTTCTTCGTAGAACCCGTTGAAACACAAGTCTTGTTCTACGGCGCACCGCGTGATGTAGCTAGTAATGGAACAGTCGTGGTTTACGTACATCGTGGAAATCCCAATTATCTTGATGTAGTCTGCTTCATCACAAGTCTATGGTTAAGACCTCCTCGACTGACAACTCCTCTTGTGAATGACGGAGACTTATGGGTAAATTCATTTCAATTTAAGGTGCTTTCAGGGTTAGCAACATTTTGTTAATATCAGGCATGAAGATCAGACAACGAGACACCACCATACGTGACTTCAGGAAAGTATACAAACGCTACAGACCACTGTTTCGACAGCATACAAAACCTCAATTTTCGATCTCATGGACTGTCGTTGTATTAGATGTCGCAACATTTAAATAGAGAGGGAATAAAAAAGAAAAGGCAAATATATATTTTCCCAATTGTGTAGAAATGGTAGGATATTAATTCTCAGATTCGGGCTTAATTCATGTGACTCGAGTATAGTTATACGGGAATGCTTTGAAAAAAGTCAGTTGGTCATATCTCTCCATTATCTTTCAGAATTGGCACAGGTTGTATATTGATACAAAACGGTTGAATCCTATCTCTACTGATTTCTCTGGCATGTATACGTGCAATGGGTCGTCATCATTTCACAGCGTACATGTGCTGTTTAAAGGTATGTATATAATTATGAGAACAATTCAATGATATGGTTACAAACAAACACACCCACATCCACACGTACCAACCAAAGAACAAATAACAAATATGTTTGTTACGAAAATTGTTGTTCCCGCAACTCAATCTTTGCCGTTCGTATAAAACATAATTTTAATTGACAAGGTATTCAAGAGAAATATGCGTGAACGAGACCGCCAACTCTCCGTTCGTACACGTGTATAAACTCACCGTGCGACGACAGTAAAACGGCACATTCTCTGTCTCCGTTGTACGAAGAAATTAGGTAATCCATTCGAATATTTCCCAAAGCTAATCACATTTGCTGATGTAAATGATATGGTTTTGCAAATATGAACTGCGAAAACTAATGAAAACCTCGTCAGGGTGAAAATATTTCGGAAACAGGCGGTCAGAGCTACCATTAAGCCCCGCCACCCCCCCCCCCCCCACTCAGTGTTATTTAGGGTACAAGTATGCTTGTTCCCTCTTTTTGAAAGCACCCCCTATCTGAGGACTGCCAACATTTCGGAACCCCCCTTTCGCGGGCTTTTCGCGGGCTTTTCCTGCCTTGGAGACCCCCCTAAATCCAGAAAAATGCTCAATGTACCCCCTAAATTCGGAATAATTTCTCTGGAGTCCAAAGAGATAAGAGAAAAAAAGAAAAAACACCCCTTTTAAACAAAAATCTCCGGTGAAAAGTCAAATACACCTCCTTTGTTTACATTTCTCGGGCCGGACTTTGGTCCGTGAAAAGTACCCCTGAACCGGACATTTTGGTAACACGCATGCGGTCATTCCGACCACGTGTGTGTGTGTAATTGGGTTTTTACAGACGTGTATCAATCAGACATGATTATTTACGTCTGTGGACCGACCTTTAACGTCACCTTCCGAAAGACGTGACTCAGTTTCGAATCTGCGTCCTCGGCTGAATCAGTTTGTTACTTCCACTGTTGGATTACAGGCGCACGCCACAACGCCACGGAGTGAGGGGCCGGGCTTTAAGCAGACGAGAAATAGCGCGTGCCAATTTGATATTATTGTAAGGATCGTAATCTGTGTAGAGATCAGTGGTTCCGGACCGACAAGACTCGAGTAATTTTTTTTTAAATAACTTGTCAATTAAAATTATGTTTTATACGAACGGCAAAGATTGAGTCACGGGAACAAGCTGATTTGGGATTTGTGTATTTTCATCCTAATTTGTGGTTACCAAAAGCTATGTACCACAAAGTCAGTCTAAAAAAAGAAAACTAAGCCCTAAAATCGTGCTCGGCCCACGGCCTATGAGTATATGGGTAAGCTAGGCACGTTAGTTTGCACATATAATCTCATTCTCTGATACGCCATAAACATGAAGAATAATTCAGCCTCGAATAAAATGAAGACTGTGTCCTTGGTGTAATGTTACCATTATTTTATCTTTTGTTGTTAAAATTGAATAAATGCAATTTTGATAATAATATCTTAAACTATGAATAATAAAACATAATTAAATTATATGTCCTTATACTGCATTCTTTAACATAAAGCCCCTCTAAAATGTTGGGAGCCTCAAACATTTGATGGCAAACTTCCACTTAAATTTTTAAATGATGTGCAAGAGGATGTCATTTAACACACACATCTACAAGGATCTTAGAAATAAATGTGTTTGAAGAGGAATAGTGATGAATAAATACAAGTATCTGTTTTTTTTTAGTACTACAGAAAACTAAAATATTGTATTCTGTCATCAAATATTGGCCTTAAAATGTATTCATTTTGAAAATCATTGCAGAGTTGTGTGTTAAATGACATCTTTTTTCACATATTCATACAATTTAAGTGCGATTTTGCCATCAAATATTTGAGACTCCCAACCCTTTAAAGGCATTGTTTAACGATGCAAAATCTGAGATGCATAGCCCTGCGTGTTATCAGCATCTGAGATATGGTATAATATTGAAGTCCTACAAAATTGCGCTTCAAAATGATCATGAAGTGCCTCAAAAAAGTAAAAATCTTTGTGTGACCGGTTTTACCATACTTATTTTCCCCAAAAGACTGTAGTGTTATAAAAACCGGTGGGAAAACGGTTTTTGAAATTTCGAACTTTCAATCATAACTATCTTGATAATCAGACCGGCAAATCGGCTTTGTAAACGTCATGGGGTTCCTGACTGACCTAAAGGTTTATAATTATGATTGCAGCATGATCTAAATCCAGGATTTTGTGTACAATCTGAGACAAAGATACGCAAATCCCTTTAATAGGCGTATATTGAATGAAATTATGTCCTTCTCTTTACCGTGTTATAGTTGCTGAATGCAAAGTCCCTGCGGCTCCAGAGCACGGGAGGTTACTATATGGTTCAAGACGGCAGGCTCGAGATATCTTTACAGCCGGTGCAACGGTTTCATTCGAATGTGAAGATGATTATAGCTTGGTGGGATCTAGGGAAATGGTCTGATGATCCTCCCGTATGTAGAGGTAAGATGGTGTCCCTTGTGTTTCCGCACCTAACATTTCATTTAAAAATGGCATTAGAAAAAAAATCGAGTAAAATCGAGTAAAATCGATTAAAAACAATATCATTTTCACGAGAAAATGCGGCGGTGTCATTTGACACTCCACAAAATAAGGTTCTCATATATATGTTTGTCTCTGCACTCACTTTACATGGAGTTTAGCTATTTTAACGAGAAAGATAATATCCCGAGGCTTGAGAATGAAATTACTTGAATAAGACTTTTCTCATTTCGCGGGCGTGAAGTTAGGGACCGTAATGATCATCATCAGCAATTCATAATGTAAATTACTTGCAAGAATTTAATGAGGATCTGGGATTACAATCGCTAACTTCACGCACGAGCGCCATCGTCGGTATACACTATTGTGCAGCGGTTTGCCGTGATACCTATGAGAAAGTGCATGTATACTTACGTCTTCGTTTTTAGGAAAAATACTCCAAAAGATATCAGCAAATTGACACGAAACAGGTAAGAAAGTTGACGACTTTTAAATCAAGACCAATTTTTTGACAAATTTATGAAGATTTAATTGATTTTGGGTATGTTATAGTAGGGTTTCTCCATTCAAGTGCTATGTCGTCTCCTGCATTGACGTCATATGATATTGCGCAATACAGCTCCGAAACTGGGCTTTTTTTCTGAGCGGTCTGAGTCGTCAGTTTTAAACCTAGATTCCAGAATTATTGATGATTTCTAAGATAAGCCATTGTCAGAATCTCCGTCAAACATTCTTCGACATGTCTTTGTTTTTATTGTTAAGACCGTTTTGATTGGAAGGGCGCTTTAATGATATTATCAATAATTTTTTTTTGTCACATGAAAAGGTTGGGATTCATGGTAATCATCGTCCGAAAAATGCAATCCGTTACGTGGATCATAATAGTTATTGGAATGTTAAGACGGGTCGGCAGTGACTAGATGGTTACAAACACACATACACATACTCCCACACAAACATACCCATACAAAATGAAAATAAAGGCTGAAATGTTGGTGACGCACATGTACATGTACACGGGGCAGAATTGTAGGAACACGGTTTGGGGAATGTTAGTCTGCACAGACTCTATCTCACGGTTTTGAGACATTGCCATAATTATGAAGAAGAAGTGTCCCTCGAATAAAACGAACACTATGCCGTTATCATAGTTATCTGATATTACGGTTAAAAGTAATTGAACGCATTAATGATAATAATACACATAGTACACATTTCATCTCAATAGCATTTAACTTAAAGGCTGAAACTACCCCAAAGAGACGTATATTGAGTGAAATTATGTCCTTCTCTTCACCGTGTTATAGCTGCTGAGTGTGAAGAACCTGTGGCTCCAGAGCACGGGAGGTTACTTGATGGTTCAAGACAGCAGGCTCGAGATATCTTTCCAGCTGGTGCAACGGTTTCATTCGAATGTGAAGATGATTACCGCTTGGTGGGATCTAGGAGAATCACATGTGAAACTGATGGTCAATGGTCGGGTGATCCTCCCGTATGTACAGGTATGATGGGGAGCCTTATGTCTGCGCACCTAACAATATGAAAGTGACAATAATTTTCTGTCGTATTGTATTAATGCTTGATCTCGATCCTTATATTCTAAAGAGTAAGTGTGCTGGAAATCTCATCAAAATCCGAGTAAGAACTGTGTTATTTTCACAAGAAAATACGGCGGTGTCAATTTGACATTGCGAAAACAAAGTTCCCAGGTCTGCGCACTCGATCATTTACTTTACATGCAGTTTATGATTGTTAACGTGAGAGATGGTAAATCGGTCTATTCGAATCTAGCGTTTATATCTTCTATTGATAGTGAGCAGGTGCCCGGTACTCAACATACCAGACCATGTAGTCACGGAGAGTATCTACTTCAGCGACGGGAGGAACATTGGAGATGAGAGGATCTTCAACTGTGTAGAGGGTTACGTTCTACGAGGTGATACTAACAACCTGCGATGCTTGGAGAGTGGGGTCTGGTCGGATCCCTTACCCACCTGTGAAGGTATGTCACATGACCAGGCTTTTGGGGGTCCAATCCCCCTAAAAATGTGTTGATGTGTGTGTTTTGGAGAACCCCCCCCCCCTTAATTTTTGTTTTGATAACAAAAAAAACAAAAAAAAAAAATTGTGCTAATGGGTGACCCCCCAAAAAGTTGACCTTACCCCCCCCCCCCCCCCCCAAACGGAACAAATATCGATCTGCCAAATTTTCAGGACACAGAAAAAAAGTGCTCTTACAAATCACAAATCAAGACATTTTAAATACAATTTGAGTGAAAATGGGATTGTTATAGTTAGTTCAAACACTTTTTGAAAGAGATACATGCAGCCAATGAACTTACTGCTACATGACGTTTTATTATCTAGTTCTTATCTATCTATCTATTTGTCTATCAAGGTATTCTTCTTCCAGCTCGGAGGTTAATTGCAACATTTTCCCATGCATCTCAATTATCTGCCACCCTAGAATACTCTATCACTGTCATTCCACTCCATGTCTTAATATTACCTTCTTGGTTAGTTCTTGTTTCCCTCTCGGTCTAGTCATTCTACCTTCTACTTTTCCTCCCGACAAATCTTTCAAGAGACTCTTATAATCCAAATCGCTTCTTTTGTAATGATACAAGAAAAAGCGTTATACCTATTTCATTATACTTTCAGACGTATTCATATCGAATACAACGTACAATATACGAGGGGGTGAACGCCTAGAAGTGTTTTATCCTAACTACCCTAACAACTACAATAATCTCGAGAACATTCTATGGCATGTCAGAAATGTCCATGGGCACCGGTTCCACTTATCGTTCTGGAAAGAGAAATCGAATAAAAAATCTGCATAATAATTTGGCAACCAGGAAATGCTATTAAAGGGCATGTCCACTCCAAAAAACTTATTTTTGATAGAAGAAGAAATATCAGACAAACCAATAGAAAAAAGTTTGAGCAAAATCGGATAAATAATAAGGAAGTCATGAATTTTTAATGACATCAAAAACTTTGAAAATCACAAGACAAATGGGCAACTTACTCATGAGTCTGTTGCGTCATCACCTTACTATTAACTACTGGTAATTGTTTTCTTTATATTGATAGTATAAATTTCCCATTTTCCCCCAAGAATGTTAATTGCTCACACCATGGACCTATTACGGATGGTTTCTTTGATTGCTAATTAACCCCTATCCTGTGTATTTACAAGCAAGAGATTTTAGTTATCAGAATCGGGTCATATCCTCTTTCGAATGGTTTGATATGCCATTACAGTACTAAACTCGTTATAATTTGAGACATAATGGCTTTGCAATTATGTTCATTCTTAATGGGGTGTCGTTTGCTTGGGCAGTATTGGTCCATATAGTGACGTTATTAAAACATCGTTATTTTCCGGCGAATCTCTCGTATATCCCAGCTGCTATGGAGGTGGTTGTATTTGTATTTTTATAAATCACCCGATATGTAGTTGACCTAAAACTTGTACGATGGCCATATGTTAGCTTACCAGTTTCTAGTGATACACTAGTTGACATATTTGTGATTTTCTTTGAATTTCACCTTTAAGGCGTTCCTGTGCTCTAACACTGGATGAATTTCTACCTAATCTCTTTTTAGTTAATGTACTTATTGGTGAGCTCTAACCGGCATGTCGAAACCTATTTATGGTAAATTGCCGGCTAAGCTCTCAAGGATGGGGATCTTCTTCACTCATGTACAGACAAGTCAGAAATCTTAAAGCATTGACGAATGAGGTTATGAATGAATCAATAAGTTCACGCAATTTAGCAGGCAAGATTTCCTGCAATGGCTCAAAATCACATTGAGATGCTTAATACAATGTTAACCACGGTTAGTATAATAAGACTAAATACCTACAACTCCCGCTCCATTATTTATTTATTCTATCTTTAAGATCCTGATCTGCAGGTTCGTCTAATTGGTGGACAAACCGCCTTAGAAGGTCGCGTTGAGGTGTTTTTTGATGGTTCTTGGGGAACAGTTTGCGATGATGGCTGGGACTTGAACGACGCCAGTGTTATATGCAGAATGCTTGGCTTTCAGACCGCAGTGAGAGCAGTCGGGAGCGCTGAATACGGTGAAGGTGCTGGAAGCATCATTCTTGATAATGTCCAATGCCTTGGGACAGAACGAAACCTTGCTGAATGCCCCCACAATGGATATGAGATTCATAATTGTGGACATAATGAAGACGCTGGTGCTGTCTGCGGTAATGGTAAGATACTTTTTTTCTTTCATAATGTGTATACTCCCCAAGTGGATCAAGTGCCTCGATACAAACTTTTTCATTCACCTGATAATAATAATAGTATATAAATAGACAGAATCCAATCTGCATACATTAGTTGTTGCCATATTTAATACATGCAGTTTGCATTATGACTATTGCGAATCCTAGACAGGTGAATGAAATAATTTGTATTGAGGAACTTCACAAAGACTTATGTATTAAATTTGATACATTACGAAAATGGCCTATTCCATGCCACGCAATAAAGTACAGACGGGACTACACGACTAGCACAACTTGTCTCGACCAAATTTATCAAATTTCAACAATTTATCATCAGGTTTTAAAACAATTCATGTTATATCCATATTCTTGTTGTTATGATCCAAAAACAATAATCGGAAGAAGAAAAACACTCATCAGGGGCTGATCTAGAGGGTTAGGGGGTTTCAATCCCCCATGGGCTGGCCAAGGTGCTTTCTTCCACCCCCCCCCCCGAAATATTGGTTGGCACTTTTTTCAAATGAAAAAAAAAATAGTGCTCACTGCCCCCCTACCCCCTACCCCCCACTGAGCGAAATATTGGTCGGCGCGATTTTTCAAATTTCACCCCCCCCCCCCCCCGTAGCAAAAAGCTAGATCCGCCCCTGCCCGTCGAAATTCGTCCTCCTTCGTTATTAGACAACGACATTCCCATCACCATCTTTGGTACAAGCTTGCTGATTGGCTGTTTATTCACTTAGGGTCCTATTGAGAACGCCCGTAGATTTAGCCAAAACCCGTTCTGGATTTCAGTACCTCAGCGGTCACCCTGCTGTTACTATAGTAGCTTCTCGATTTTGCATACGAAACCGCAGATTCTCAATCCACAATGAGCTTGCGAAATACCCCTAATGTTTGTCGAACTGGCAACAACTAATGTATGCAGTTTGGATTCTGTCTATTAAAATACTATTATTCTTATCAGGTGAATGAAATGGTTTGTATCGAGGCACTTCACAAATACGTATGCATTATCTTTTTGTTAAATTAAGAAAATTGCCTAATGGCATTGCAAATACAATACCTCCGTACTATACGTACGCATTCACCGAAAAGCGAAACATCGTATTGTATCGAGGGTGGTCTGTGTGCGACGGCCGTAAACCTGAGTGCTCTGCGTCGTAGAAGGTCTGTCCGTTGCTGAGCGAAAACTCGCTATTATAATAATAATAATAATAATAATCTTTTAAAGTCCACTCCAAATTGTATTAAGTTAAACCGAAAAGGGTTGAAGAAAAAGGGGAAAATATCTAAGTCAATGTTAGATTGAAGCAGGGAGAGAATATCATTATGTTTGGATAAATGAATAATAATTTAACTTTTTGGCACTTGCACTTCGTACTGTTCAAATGACCAAAAACAATTACAGTGTACCGATGATGATCTTAAAATTTTCGGTCGTGATCATGGGATATGATTGAAATATTGAATTATTTTTTACCATCCATATATGTTTTGTTTTGCAGGTTAATTTGACGGAACATTACCTGTGGATGCAGCAGCAGTGATGGATCACGACACGCTTCCAATCTGAGGTAAAATAGATATATATACTGTACGGCTACACGAAATAGATAACATTAGAAATGGTACACCTTTGAAGTAAAATCGTTTGATTAAGATTATATAGGACTACAGTCTTCTTGACATAATACAGCTTGTTTGGTTTCTCTGCCTTTTGTATAACAGAGGGTTTTTCAAGACCGATAACCCACGAGACCAAGTGCTTTGCTCTCGCAAGCCTACTTATTTTATGAGCATTATAGGGACACTCTTGGGACAAGACCGAAATAGTTTATGTCAGGGCCTGGTCTAAAGTTTAAAAGGTCTAAAGTTCCATGAGACCGAAATCGTCAGCTAGTTACACTGTACAAAAGTTGGGCAATATTTTTTTTCTCCAACAAGCGGGCTACCGTAGTCGCACAGTTGAAGGGTCATATCTTTGCCCAGATTTTTGTCGAAATACGAAACAATTATGCACGTGTGAAGTAGGGTACTTCGTTTACCAATACCACTGGGCAAACTATTTCCCAATAGATAGTTGGGTTGACTATTGGCACAACATTGGTCAAAGTGTTGGAGAAATATTGCCCGACCTTTTCACAGTGTAGCAGTAACTGCTTATTCTGATCACCTTTATCTTTTCATTATGTTGTGTATTCATGCCACATATGAACTCCTTTGCTACTATGTTCCAGTCCTCTTATATCATTTTGTAATTGTTCATTGTCACAATGCGGCAAACATAGTCGTGATCATGCAGTGATTTCACTTCAATGCTGTGTAGAGTTTGATAGAAATATGGGTTGATGAAAGGTGGGTTTGCAAGGTTATTATAACCCTATCACTAACCCTAACGGTTAACATGTGCGCATTCGCAGGTTCAGCTACTTAGCTAACCTCTTCTGATTGGCTGTATGCAAATAAGTTCATACTGGGGTCCGGAACTCGCGTGGGAAAAATGATTTAGCATCCCGGAGTGCATTTGAAATCGGGACGTAAAAGTAACATGACAGCTAATGACAGCTAAGAATGGAACAGTTTGCCTGATGATATAAAATATAGTACAACTCTTTCTAGGTTTAGAAGGTTATCTAAAACGTATCTACTTGGAAGACTGACATAATTCTACTTTGTATCTTAATAATTTCTCATTCTCAAATGCTTATAGACCACTAAGGACTGTGTGTGTGTGTGTGTGTGGGTGGGTGCGCGCGTGTGTGTGAATATTTTTTTGTGTTCTATATTCTGTAGCTTAGTTTGTTTCCATCCCTTGTATAAACATTATATTCTTTTTATTCACCTTGCCATATCGTTAATGTATGTATTTTGTTGACTATAGGGCCCCGCTCACAAGCTTAGCTTCTACAGGGGTCCTAAAACCATTCACTTAATGATGTACTATTACCAGTCTCTTTTTCATGTAAAAGATTATATCATGTTTTGTGTGGTTTTGAATAAATGAACTTGAACTTGAACTAACATCCGGAAATTTGGGGGTGTTGGCGATAGCGAGAATTATGTGCACCATGTCATTAAATCACAATGTACAGAAAGGTTCTACTCACGTTAAATTTTGTTATAATAATGACTATTCAACATACCCCTAAAGAAAAAGAGGTATCTTAAAAAAAAAAAAAAAAAAACAGATTCATCCCGCCGGACAATTCAATCCCTAAAGTGTATATTTTTCAAGGGGAATTGATGGGAAATCCATATCGAGCTAAATGTTGACTCAATTAAGTATTAATGTTGTTTTTTCAGTTTTAAATATTAAATTTGTCTTGTCTGTGTTAGCATACATCTCGTAACTCTGTTGGATGGTTGGTTGGTATTATACTATTAGCATGTATTAAAAAAACGTCCGAAGTCTAATAAGGTCTTTCAATTCTAATTTGTTTCGATCCAATTTATTATCGCACAATTGGAATTTGCTTTCATAATTGAGTATCCCAGACAAAAAGTATTTTCGAATTGTTATGTTTTGTTATGAAATTGTAATCTAATGATTGTACAAGTCGATGTAATTTAGATTTACCTCGAGTATGAAATATTTCATTTGTTGTATAAAACATGTTTAGAAGAATAAATGTGAATTTACTTAGTCATTTCATCGTTGAGTTACGTAAGTTGTTCGCACGTTCGCATATACTGAATTATCGTATAAGAGGCTCGCACGAGCTCATCTCCCTCACTTTTAAACAGAAATCAGAGACAGAACTTTCCCAGCAAAGAACTTCCATAGCACAGAACTTTTCCAGCACAGAACTTCCCCAGTACATAACTTCCCTATTGATATATATTAGAAGTTAGATAAGTCAACGGCGTGTTGGTTCATTATTAAAATATTTATAAGTCAATTATGATAGTCCCCCTATACTTTTGGAACTTAGTTGAATCATACAATGATTGAACATATCAATTATCTTTTAGAACTTAACAAATTAGTCCCCAAGCAAACAATACAAATCTTTCGATTTATTCGTATTTGATGAAATATTAGTCAGAGTGAATTAATAATTCATTAATTAGTCTAAACATTACAACAATTATATATGTAGTAGTGGCAAATATTGCAAATGATGTAATTCTTGAATAAATATAGAATGTTTGTTTTTTAACCTAAATTCTTAGTCCATAAACATGTGTCTTTATTAGTATGCTCCATGTCACAGCAACAAACACCTCTCACCCATGCAGTCATTAATTCCAATCATATACTTTGATTAAAACGAATGACATATACATATGGTATGATCGGCATCCTTGACATTCAAGAGTTCGAGACAAATTTGAGAAGAAAAGATTAAACAAGATAATTATTTGTTGCCCTCTCTCGGCGGCTAGGAATGCTCGCTACAATATGTGATGATTGCGCGTGAATTTATTAATGGATCTCTGCAGTGAGACATGCGCACTGCTCTTAAACGGGAAAACGTTTACTACCAAAAATACGTTTGAGAGGCGTTTTGTGTCAAAATATCTTTTGTTTTTAATCGGCACACGGATGCAGTAAATAGAACAAGTAATGACTGCCTCGTGTGGGTCACGGTTAAAACTATAGCTCCTTGGTTGATCTCAAAACTGTACTATATTTGATTTGATTTGATTTATTAATTTCTGTTTGATTTTCTTTTTCTTTTGCATTTTTACAAATATACAGTGCTTCCCAGAAAAAACGAAACCGGGAACTATCGATGTTTTATTATAACTTAGTCACATTTATAATTAATAAATGACACATATTTGGAAATCTAAGATTATCCTCTTTCATTTGATGCAACTTATATGATGCATATTTCATGCATGAGTGATAAAAATGAATATGAAGAGAGGAAACCAAAAAGTGATTTGGCAGGCGGTATCGTAAAGCGCATAGAGAAACTTCGGTGTATTATGCGCTCAATAAATCTATCTTTATTATTAGTATTATTGTTATTTCAAAACGAAAATTAAATTTCTAAAAAGCTAAGTTTCTGCCCTTTCATATGACACCTAATCATGAAAAATGAGCAAAGAATGACAAAGTTCTGTTTGTTTAAAGTAGTGCTTGCATTTCCATAATTTTATCAAACGAATTAGTTTGTAGTTTAATTAATCTGTAGTTTGCAGGCACATTCGTAATTCATAACATAGGTTCTAAGCAAGCAGTCTACACCGAGACCGCAGCAAATACTCTACTTCTACTTCTACTTCATCTGCGCCTGTTCAGCATCTAGATGAGGGTAAAGCATAGAGTTATTATGTACAGCTCTATGCGGTACAGTTTCTGAAAAGGGAACTAAATGGATTCAAACTGATTTATTCTAATTATCTCTCCCCTTTTCTATTAACTCTCTACAATCCAATCCAAGCATTTCCAGGGAGTAAAGTACTTTCCGATATGCAAACAATGATAGAAGGCATTTCCTTGTCATATGTTAAATTATTTAGATTACTTCACCTTAATTTCTCCCTCTTCTCCTATTTCAAGCTTTATCTCGTCTGTCTTTTCAATTTCCTGTCTTTTTCACTTTCCCTGTCTTTTTCTTTTTCCTCGTTTACTTTTGTTGGCAATGTCATTCCTACTTTGTCTCGTTTTGTTTTAAATCTCGTCTGTCTTTATCATTCCCTGCCTTTTCAATTTCCTTGTTGACATATGTTTTTTGGCAATGTTATTATTACAGTTACAATAACTGTAGGTTGAAAGTTACATTAAAGTACAGTAACTGTACTTTAATGTAATTTCAACCTTTTGTAAATTAAATTTGTTTCAGCCTTCGGCTGCTATTCTAAGTGTATATGCTTTTTTTAAATTCAATGAACTAGTTAAAATCGAATCAAATTAAATCAAATACAAATACTCCTTACAATTCACATGAGAGAATACAAAAGGTCTTTCACATTTAAGTATATTGAAGCATCCTACCGTGCGTATTTAAAGAAAATATGAGACTTTCTAATCATGCTACTAGGGGTTAAATTAGGTCTGCGTTCCCTAGAAGTATCACCTTGTGGTCAACTAAGACACGCTAGTTTTGGAATAGATCCCCATTCAGTTATTACTTCTTCTTTATTTACATATTAATTATGACCGGGTACCTATTGATCGCATGATAAATTGGATGCTCTGTATCAAGTAAAAACAAGATTGCCGAGATACGAATTATCTACAGCTTCTTGTTCTAAAATCGTCGGTCTCTATGGAGCATTCATCTTTTTTTCTTCCTCCTGTCCGTGTTAGGGTCCCCGAGTGAGGGGAACTTCAGTGCCCAAAGCGCTCCCGGGCACCCTATAGTTTGTGTGTGTGTGTGTGTGTGTGCGTGTGCGTGTGCGTGTGTGCGTGTGTGTGTATTGGGTTTTTACAGACTTGTGTCAATCATATATGATTATTTACTACATAGGCATTGAATTAGGCTTCACTCAAAATACATTAATGATTGTAATAGAGTGTCAAATGTAGGGTCTGTGTTTGTAGACCATAACATAACATAACAGGAAGGCATGAAATATATATCGGGACTTTATTCTTTCGTCATAGAGATGATGATAGGTGTCAGATTAACGACTTTTTCATTTCGCTTCCTGAAATAATCAAAAAGTGAACCGGAAGTTCAGAAAAGATCCATGCCAATGGCATCCTGAAATTAAACCCAGCATAAATAAACATAATACGTTGATAAGCACAATGCCATCATGTAGGTCTCACTTACAAAAGACATAATCTCACATTTTACCTTGAGGCAGTCAAACCAGTTGGCCACGATGGAAGGAAAGCGATTTGAAGACATTGTCCGAATATTGATCTATGTTCAACTATTCCTAACTTCAGTTTGCGGTAAGTAGATGTTTTATCTGTTTTATCTGTTTTAAAGAAGTAAATTTTCATGTAATACTTCCAGGGTGTGCACATAAGATCATCCGACATTTTAATAAAATATTGGCTGAACAAGCTATTAACAAAAACACAATCCAAGGTATCACATCACAATATTAGGCTTAAAGTAATACGTACCAAAATAAAATTGGGGGAAAGAGCATTTGCGTCAGCAGCTCTTTTTTGTGGAATAAGTTACCTTTCTCTATTCAGACGGCCAAAACTCTTTCTACTTTTAAAACTGGACTTAAAAATCGCCTGATGCTCAGTCTATGCATATAGTTAAATTTCAATATTCTTTTTATACATAACATGCAAAGCAAATAATCACACTGTGCCACATTGCATGTATCATGGTACCATGAAGTCGTGTGATCTAATGTGAGTTTACATTTAATATTTCTTTAATCTTAAATATGTTGAATATTAATTTAAATTATTTGTAAGCGCCTTGAGCATCTCTAGAGATGGATATGTTGCGCTTTGTAAATATTGTTATTATTATTATTATTATTATTATTATTATTATCTCATTAATTAAATGTTCATGTGGGAGAAGAAAGCACACAGAAGATAATGATGATGGTGATGATGATTATGATATCCGCCTCTGCGAGACCATGGGGCTTTCTCTACGATGTTTGTTTTGATTATTGTAGCTTATTATAAAATTGTTTTTTTATATTTTTTTATTTGCTGCTGGGAACCTCTTCTAGTTCGTTTGGCCCTACTGATTTAGGCCACGTATTTGCACACTTTGCATGCATGTAGTGTTTTTCGGCATTCATGTAACCTAAAAAGCATGAATCGTTAATAGTTTAAATTTTTTTTGCAATTCCTAGTTACCATGGTTACTAACAAATAACTTAATTTTACGCAAAGGTAAACGAAATACATTAACCCACGAGTAAACACAACTTTAGTTTATAAATGTATGTAGAGAAAGGCGGATTAATCACACATTTCATATGATAAATGATCTTAACATTCTTTAGTACGTAGATCGTGTGTGTGTATGTATGTGAGGGTGTGTAGGTTCACAATCAGGGAATGTGACCTATCAAACTTTTGTACTGATAGGGCTGAGAGAGGTTCATGTGATTTTGGGGTGCGTTTAAGGCTTTAAGCTCAATTTTGAAGGCAGAATGAGCGATTTGAAATGCTCATCGTAATCGCAGTTTCACGGTGTACTGTTTATGCTCACTTCTCTGGCTCCTCCGGGCATGATTCTGGCTCAGAGCCAGAATCATGCTATTTCTTACCACACCAAGACTTTACAAACCGTTCTATGTGATATGATTCTTATCAGACGCGGACAAAAATCTATGTATGAACATGCCATGACATCGAAACTGGTAAGCGGAACTTCCTCGACATAGATGGCCTTATATCTTTTCTGGAGGAGATAAGTTTGTTTATGAATGTGTCTTTTTTTACATCCTTCCTAGTTGGCTCATCGCCATGCATGCCTGAAAGCGATCGTTTCGGGCGTTACACGGTCAGAGGCGGTGATGGCAACATCTGGTCGATGGGTGTTCATAGTGGGTCTAGGGTTCAAGTCTCAGTAAGATGAGATGCGGGTGCTATGGCATTTTTTAGATACATTTAAACACATTATTGATATTTGAGAAACTCCACAGTTTGAACATCTTTTAAGTTAAGACTATTTGACTTGTGAAAATGAGGGATCATTACAAAAGCGTGGTTCATATTTCCTTCTTAAAACTACAGTACGTCTTCATCTAAGTTGGTTAAGTATTTTTATATAATTATCTATTAATAATAAAGCAGTGTTTTTAAAGTTTTCAACAATGAGAATAATTGTACTAACAGTGATTTTTGTAATGGAAGGCGCTACCTAAAATCAATTGCTAAATGCGCACTAGAGGTTAAAGATAAACTTGAGTTCTGGTAAAAAAAAAAAGAAAATGAATTCTCACAGAATCTAACGAAACTTACTGAATGTTCAAGATTACAAATAAATGTCATGTGCCAAACAATTTTTGAAGAAAATGTATACTGGCTGAATAATGAGCATATCAAGATAAGGAAATCAGAGTAGTACTAGCCTGGACACCATGTGTGTTGTCCCATATACATATTTATGTGTAAGTGATTGTTACTTTACCAAGACTCGGTCAAATTTATTATGATTTTGATGACTCCAGAACCTTGCAGTGCACACCAATACTTACATGCTACATGATCAACTGTTTCTGATCCTTTCCATGCCTTTTCTTTTACAATGTAATCGCATTACCAGTACTAAAGTTTATCTTTCTCTAAGACATACATACAAACATACAAAGGACAGGCAGAATTAATAAAAGCTAAACATTTATGGTGATTTTGATGACTCCAGAACCTTGCATTACACACCATTACTTACATGCTATATGATCAACTTTTCTGATCCAATCCACACCTTTTCTTTCACAAGTTTATCTTTAAAAATGAAACGACGTATATTTTGTACATTGATTTCTCAAAAGTTACGAATAGTTTTATACCTTTTGTCTTATGTTTATTTATTTAGTTTGTATGATTACATTATGCAAGATTATGGGTCAATGTACGATACGTTTATTTAATCATTTTTTCGACCCCTTATTATAGTTTGTTATTCTGTATTTAATGAGTTTTATTGATATATGAAGGTCGCTTTTCTGTAAATATACCTTTTCATGAAGAGCTATTTCGATTGAATTGACGGTCAAAAGACTGTTCTTCTTTTTAAATTGTCATGAAGTAAAACATTGCTATTCGTAATATCGTCGATAGTTAACTCTCCGTGTTTTTCACAGAGTATAGTATTAATATGATCTAGCATAATAATGCTATATTTTACTCACATATAGGAGCAGAATATCTTGACGTTCGCTTGGTTAATGGATCGAACAATGCTTCAGGTCGAGTCGAGGTAAGTTACAACGGTACCTGGGGAACAGTATGTGATGATGGATGGGACTTGAACGACGCCAATGTCGTATGCAAAATGCTTGGGTTCTTCGACGCGTCTAGTGCACCAGGCATGGCTGCATATGGTGCGGGTTATGGAGAGATTCATCTTGATGAAGTTGATTGTACTGGATCAGAAAGCAGCCTCGAAGACTGCATCAAGAGTGAATTTGGAGTCCATAATTGTGATCACAGCGAAGATGCTGGAGTGACCTGTAGAGGTACAATGACCGTTTGTTTGATTTTTTTTAATTCCACCTATCGTTATTAACCAACTATTGCATTGGCTTAATCTCTAAAACATCGACATATAACTCACTGACCATTGTTTACTAGATATGTCTAAGCAGGGCATGTAATGCAAAAATCCAAAGTAGTTTAAAACATGATTAGGTTGTGTTTTAGGTTGAAGTTTGTTTTATTGTTGTGAGAGACTATATCAAATTCTCAGAAATTACCCTTACTTTAATAACATTCGATATAAAATTGATATGATATTCGATTAAAGCCAACAACAATAAAGTATCTAGATAACCAAGTAAAGACCTAGAAAACGCATTTTTTTTATTTTTTTATTAAGTTTTGTTCACAACTTAGAAACCTCCCAGAAGTTCGTGATCGGTAGAATACGTAAAACGACCATTCACTTTCGCTATATGTAAAAGATAAAAATGCTACTGATGGGACTCTTGCCCATGCGAGCTGGCAACTGATATTGTTTGACAGTTTACAATATGATTGTTTACTACTGTAACAGTATCAGTCTCAAAATGCCTTGACCAGACGTTGGTAGGTTTAACGGTAGTTCTATTGTTAGCATACCTCCTCTACTTTTACACATGCCATGAGTCAGTGCCTTACGTCCAAAGGGGTTTACAATGAAATTACGCCCCCGGTCGAATTTTTTCTATTCATATAATCAAACAGGGCTTATTTTAGTTTTTAAAACTTATGCCACAACACGAATCGATACACTTAGTAAGACTCTACGACTGTTGTTTAATAATTTACTGGTTGTAAGCCGCAAATATGTTAAATTAATCTACGACTGTTGTTTAACATTCCGCTTTTTTTGTGTTTTTTGGACTATGGATTCGCCAGCTTTCCAACCTCACATTTGGATCCCGAAAACAAGAATTGGTGAGAACTTTCCCTTTTTGATTACATTTCTTTTAAGTAAACTATAATCAACCTATTTGGTATAAATGTCAATATTTATTTCACAGTCTTTGTCTTTTACATCATTATGAATCACTGTATATATTCGTAATATCGTCGATAGTTAACTCTCCGTGTTTTTCACAGAGTATAGTAGTATGATCTATCATAATAATGCTGTATTTTACTCACATTTAGGACCAGATTATCTTGACGTTCGCTTGGTTAATGGACCGAACAATGCTACAGGTCGAGTCGAGGTATGGTACAACAGTACCTGGGGAACAGTATGTGATGATGGATGGGACTTGAGCGACGCCAATGTCGTATGCAAAATGCTTGGGTTCTTTAACGCGTCTAGTGCACCAGTCAGTGCTGCATATGGTGCGGGTTCTGGAAAGATTCATCTTGATGAAGTTGATTGTACTGGATCAGAAAGCAGCCTCGAAGACTGCATCAAGAGTGAATTTGGAGTCAACGACTGTTTTCACAGCGAAGATGCTGGGGTGACCTGTGGAGGTACAATGACCGTTTGTTTCATTTTTTTAATTCCACATATCGTTATTAACCAAATTTTGCATTGGCTTAATCTCTAAAACATCGACATATAGCTCACTGACCACTGTTTACTAGATATGTCTAAACAGGACATGTAATACAAAAATCCAAAGTAGTATAAAACATGATTAGGTTGTGTTTTAGGTTAAAGTTTGTTTTATTGTTGTGAGAGACTATATCAAATTCTCAGAAATTACCCTTACTTTAATAACATTCGATATTAAATTGATATGATATTCGATTAAGGCCACCAAAAATAAAGTATCTAGATAAACAAGTAAAGACCTAGAAAACGCATTTTTTTTAAATTAAGTTTTGTTCACAACTTACAAACCTCCCAGAAGTTCGTGATCGGTAGAATACGTAAAGCGACCACTTACTTTCGCTAAATGTAAAAGATAAAAATGCCACTGATGGGACTCTTACCCATGCGAGCTGGCAACTGATATTGTTTGACAGTTTACAATAGGATTGTTTACTACTGTAACAGTATCAGTCTCAAAATGCCTTGACCAGACGTTGTTAGGTTTAACGGTAGTTCTATGGTTAGCATACCTCCTCTACTTCTACACATGCCACGAAACCGTGCCTTACGTCCAAAGGGGTTTACAATGAAATGACGCCCCCGGTCGAATCTTTTCTATTCATATAATCAAACCGGGCTTATTTTAGTTTTTAAAACGTATGCCACAACACGAATCGATACACTTAGTAAGACTCTACGACTGTTTTTTTTAATAATGTACTGGTTGTAAGCCGCAAATATGTTAAAATAATCTACGACTGTTGTTTAACATTCCGCTTTTTTTTTTTTTTTTGGACTATAGATTCGCCAGCTTTCCAACCTCACATTTGGATCCCGAAAACAAGATTTGGTGAGAACTTTCCCTTTTTGATTACATTTCTTTTAAATAAACTATAATCAACCTATTTGGTATAAATGTCAATATTTATTTCACAGTCTTTGTATTTTACTTCATTATGAATCAGTGTATATATATTTAAGAAACATCTCAAAACACACCTATATATATTCTAATTAACTGCATTACATGTTCTATCATATTTTTTGTTGAGTTTTAATTCATTGATGTATTTGTTTTGTAAAGCGCTTTGATCAGTTGTAAATTGGATATAATGCTATGAAAAAAGAAACAATTTATTATTATTTGTATTATTATTATTATCGTTATATTATTAGCCGTCACTTCCCTGCGGACATCTTTTACAATCTGTCGTGATAAATGTATACCCAATGTTATCCTGTCAACATCATCCTGGGAAATTAGATCTATAATGTTAATACAGATTGACGGAACAGGGCACAAAGATGATAAAAGATAGGACTGGGGCAGTGGCGGATCCAGGGGGGGGGGGCCACCCCCTGGCCAAAAAAAGAAGGGGAAAAAAGAAGGGAAAAAAGAAGGGGGAAAAATGGGGAAAGATTTTTGTTGTGTGTGGGCTTTACAAACAAAAAGTGTTCATTCCACCCCCCGAACCACTAAACAAAATATCTGACGACGTAATTTTCCAGTTTCCGGGGCCCAAACAAATTTAAAAAATAAAAATGTGCTCATCTGACCGTAATTAAATGCCTAAAATCCCTTGACTTCCGGTGGCTCTGCCCCCCCCCCCCCCCCCCTCCCAAGACCCAAACCTAGGGCCCTAAGGCGGATGATTGGACGCTAATCTGACGGTTATTTAATGCTTAAATCCCTGAGCCCTCTGCCCTCTGAACCCAACCATTGTCCTAAGGCGGGTCCCTGGATGCTCATCTGACCGTAATTTATTGCCCGAAACCCCTGAGCTTCCGGTATAAATAGGTATAAATAATATGCTCATCTGACGATAGTTTAATGTATACAACCCTTGAGCTTCTGCCAGTGTCACAAATTAGGTATCAAAATATGCTCATCTGACCATAATGTATTGCCGAAAACCCCTGAGCTTCGCCCCCCCCCCACCCCCACCCCCAACATATGGAAAAGTTTTGGGCGAATTCGTTCAGAAAATGGATTGCTCACCGAGCCGATCAACTCTGCACAGAGCTTCGCACCAAGTACCGCAGTTTGCTCTGGCGCGTAACACAGAGAGTCAACTGGTCAGTGGGTGCGTGCATTAATGACAAAATAGGGAGAATGGGTCTTGTTCATAACATTAACATAAAACAAGGACGATTTCATTTACATGTTTATGTCTTTTAATGAAAATCTAAGACGATACAAAACACAATAACAAAAATCTTGAAGATTGAATTCATATCGATAATTAAATATCAAGGAGTTAACTAATTATATATCTAACCCCACAATCAAATGGAATTTTCTTTTTTGAGACTCTGAGGTTTACGACGAACAATTTTACAAAATCCTTGTGTTTCGTCTTGGTCACTGGCAAATTTCACAAAAAAATCCATGGGGTACTATCACCATTAAATTATCATTACTACAGTCTACATGTCTTCATCTTTCCACATTTTAGGTTGAAACTCACTGAATGATAGAAATAACTACACAAAATGGACAGGTTCAAAGAACATTCCGAGAGAAGACGTGCTGTTTCAAATCACATGCAACGCAAAAGTTCGCACGCTAATGTATACGTCTATGGAACTCGTGTAGAGTGGAATATTTCACGCTCTAACGCAACAGCGAGCTTAAAATAAGAGACAGCAAATCATTCGATGCAAAAGTGCAACTTTTCCTCTTATCCAATCAAAATGAATGATACATTACTGGAATCGTTGAACCTACTTTAATTTGATATGCGAGATGGTGCAATTCGCCCACCGAATCAAATCCCCCGCCATGAGAAGTATGGAGCGTTGACAAATTTTGGGCAATATTAGGTTTACCTCCATAGAGAAAGTGTCGTGAAAGGTTTTTTTGGAACATTTTATAGTAAAAAAGTGCAACGTTTTCCCCATGAATGAAATTATTTCAAATGTATATCATCTTAAAGAGAAAACGTTGAATTTTAAAATACCGGCCGAGAAGGTATTTAAAGTGGGTTTAATTAGGCTGTTGCTGTGATTTACACACTAATTTTAAAAAATGGTTCAATCCTGCACCTTTAGGGGTGCAAACCGATGCAATAGCAGCACATTTAGGATTTCAGTCCTGCACCCTTTAAAGGTGCAATCCTTCTCCCATACTCGAGGAATACTTGTAAAATTTGCTCGTACACAAATACATATTAAACATGCATGTTGTTTCTTGGTTAGTAATCATAGAATCAATATATCTATTGCTACAACGTGAATGTAATTGTAACGTGATCAGACAAAATAATCTATTTGTTTAATGATTGTCGAAGGAAATTAAACAAATCACAAAATTAATGTGCATTATCCTAATCCTTAACAAATCATGATAAATGTATTTTTATGTGAACACGTATAAAGTAATCATGAATATGCATGCAATATGCAAACTTTTATTTTGCACCCTTTTTGGTCGATTGGGTTCATTTTTGTGGGAAGGGTGCAAAATCTTATATTGCACCCTTTTTGAACCCCTTTTCCTTCAAAAGGGTTCATTTTTATGTAAAGGGTGCAAACTCTTATTTTGCACCCTTTTTTCTTAGTGTGTAGCGTAGGTAATGCATGAATTTTATAAAACCAAGAACTCAATATCCAAATTATCAAGATTTTATGGGTATGATAGGCTCTCTTTTTTGGAGAGCATTTGAGGAATTTCAATGAATCCATCTTTTCCAATTTACTGTAAGTAATTTTTTTGTTTGTTGTAATATAACCATTTCAGGTGTTCTTTATTTTTTTCTTCATAATAATATATTAATATATAATATTATTAATAATAATAATAATTTACTGTAAGTAATACTTATACGTGGATTCAATGGAAACGGCAGATTTTCATTCATATCTTATTGATTTATGATTAATTAATTGATATCTCACAAAGCTATCTAATATTTCTTTGATTTACTCTCGAATCCGTGAACAAAGATGCCAAAAACAAAGATAAATATCTCCTTAGCTGAACTGCGAGTATATCTTTCGTAAAATATCGTAAGCAATCATATTGAGTTGCAATCCTCAAACTACAACAACAAAAAGGGGGAAAGAAGAAAAGAAATTTGAGCAAAATTGTCATGGCCCTTCGACTGATATTAATACTGTATTTATTCTGTGGCATTTTCCTCCAGAGAAACCTTGTTTAGTCCCAAGGAACAGAGGACCGGTTCGCCAGTTTGTGAATGGTGATGCGAGGAGGCCAATAAGTAGCTACTATACCCCTCCCACCTTACCCGATGGCACCAAACTAGTTGTTAGATGTAGAGACCCTGGAATGTATAGATTGATTGGTGATCAAAGACGAATTTGCCAAGGGGGACAGTGGACCGGGGACGAACCAGAATGCCGTGAGTATTAATGCGCTTCAACCGAAGATTTTGAGCAAATTAGAATTGATAGAAGGGTAGAACAATAATCGCCTATTTGTTTCTTTGGTTTATATACTAACTTTCAGCAAATTAAGCATACTATTCTTTTTTGGACAACGTTCGTTTCTGATTTGTTTCAAGCCTGACAATTAATGTTTTATTAAACATTTTTTCTTATTCTATTTTGACATTTCAGTAAAATACTTCAAACACTCTTAACAAAATAAAAAAAAAAGGTCTCATCTATTTGGCTTTACCCATCATGCAATATTCCAGCTTCTGGTTCCTCTGCCCTTTGTGCGCCAGACATCATTAGCAGATGTAGGGCTGCGTTATACCCCTTTCACATGCACGGATTTGTCTTACGAGTCCTTACGGATCGCCAACTTGCAGTCAATTGCAAGCATATGTAAATATCTCGCAGACACATTTAAAGGGACTTGGTAACATTGTTAAGATGAGAGATAGTGGTGCTAATGTAGTGAATTCAATGCTAGATGTACAATTAAAGATAATCTGTAAATTTGAGTGAAAACGGACCATTATTGATGATACAATTTGGGAAAAACTGATCCGATCGATTCCTGAATTCTTCCAACTATATTATTACAATATAATCACATTTTAGGTGAATGTAAGTCTTCACAAAGCAATAAAGTGGCTCTACATACCATTCCAGACATTAAAGGGTTGACAGATTTTTAATAGCCTGTTTTATGTCTTTTTTTTCATGGAAAAACGGTTGGGAAAATTCAAAAATGGTTGGGAGAATTTACTGTTCATCACTGTTAGAGGGTGTCGTACAATGACGCCTTCAAAGAAAACCATAGATATCTTCGTGGTTTGAGAATTTGTTTCAGGATTTTTGCATGTCAGAGAGTTAGTACAGTAGAAGGAATATAATAAGTAACATTTAAATGTATATGCTCCGACTGTAAAATCACAAAAAGAGTTGTTTTACAAAAAGATGTTCAACTGGATAAAATGTATTAAGCACAAAGACGATTTACTTATATTTGGAGGTGATTGGAACGGTGTACAAGATCCTCAGCTTGATACCCGAGGCTGGTCGCAGGTATACAAACCAATTAAGTGGTTACAAAACATTAAAAATAAACTCAAACTGATTGACGTATGGCGGAAAATGAACCCGCAAGGAAAGCAATTTACATGGCGACAACTATCGTTAGGAATCTATTCTAGACTCGATTATTGGCTTATTTCATCGTCACTATATTGTTACGTTCAAACTACCGATATAAGACCTGCCATCAAATGTGATCATTGTGCTGTATCATTAAGATTGAAAACAGATAGCGTTGAAAGGGGGAAAGGTCTTTGGAAGTTTAATAATTCATTGCTATGTGAAATTGATTTTAAGAACAAAATTAAAAACATCATACAAGCTTTAAAGTCTAGCCATAATCGAATGAATGCAAGAACTAAATGGGATATGTGTAAAATAAAAATACGAGAATTTGCCATGAAGTTTTCTAAACAGAGGCTGAAGGAAAAATCCAATCAGTACAAGAAAATGTATAATGAATATACAGAGGTTTGCAGAAAAGTTGACAGTAACCATACTAGAGAAGATATAGACAGAATGCTAGAAATAAAGAAAAAGATTGAAAAATGGCACACACATTTATGTAAAGGTGCATTTATTAGATCTCGAGAACGATGGATGGAAAAGGGTGAAAAGTCAACCAAGTACTTTCTCAATTTAGAAAAAAGAAATGGGAAAAGAAAGGAATTAGATTGTATTACAAACAAAGGGAAAATAATTACTGGAAACGAAAATATTCTTAGAGAAATAACTAAATATTATAGGGAATTGTACTCCAAGCATACATTTAATGATATCTCTGATATGAAAAAGTATTTAGAAACAACAAACTTAACTACTCCTTCTGAAGAAGAAGCTTTATTATGTGAAGGACCGATCACAGAGAAAGAATGTTTTGATGCGTTAAATTCAATGAGAAATAACAAATCTCCAGGCAGTGATGGTCTGACTGCAGAATTTTACAAGTGTTTCTGGGCTGACTTGAAGTGTATGTTGATCGACAGTTTAAATGAAGGATTTGCAAAACAAGAATTGTCTGAAAGCCAGAAGCAAGCTGTTATAACATTACTGCATAAAAAGGGAGACAAGCGTTTAGTAGATAACTGGAGACCGATCTCATTGTTAAACATTGACTACAAGATCCTTGCAAAAACGCTTTGTAAACGTTTGCATAATGTAATGGAAATTTTAGTCTCTCCCGATCAGACGGGATACTTAAAACAACGTTCTGCTGTGCAGAATATTCGTCTTGTCTTAGACGTGATTGATTACTGTAACTATGCAAATTCTCCTGGTATTTTGATTTTCTTAGATTTCAAAAAGGCTTTTGATAACATTTGTCATGATTTCCTATTTTTGTTATTAGATAGATTTAAGTTCAAAGAAACGTTTAAACATTGGGTCAAAACACTCTACAGTAATGCAATAGGCAGAGTTATTAACAACGGCTGGGTCTCTAAGGATTTCAGAATAGATCAAGGTGTAAGACAAGGTTGTCCGTTATCGGCTCTTCTCTTTATACTGGTTGCCGAAGTTATGGCTGTGAGAATAAAGCAAAATACCAACATAAAAGGTATTAGTATTTCGTTAAAAAATCCACCTGTCGTTGAAGAAAATATCAAAATATCTCAATTAGCAGATGACACGGTAATTTTTGTTAACGCTATAGAAGATGGAAACACTGCCATAAAAGAGGTGAAAACATTTGGGGTCTTAGCAGGGCCAAAACTGAATTTAATGAAAACCAATGTCATGTCAACTTCTTTTCAAGAAGAATGCTTAGATAATTTAGAATGGACTAATGAGCCCATTAAATACTTAGGTGTGTACATAACTCAAAGAAAGAAAGAATCGGAAAGTTTAAATTGGAACTTGAAACTGGAGAAAGTAAATTCGTTGCTGAGAGTTTGGAAAATGAGGAACCTGACATACTATGGGAAAATAACAATCATAAAAACGCTTATTGCTTCCCAATTTGTATATATTGCGACATGTTTACCAATTCCACAAAAGTTTGTTGTCAACCTAAACAGATTAATTTATAGCTTTCTTTGGGGATCAAAAAGGTTTAAACATGGTAGATATACAAACCAAATTCCAATCATTGCAATTATCTTGGTTTTCAAAATATATGAAAGGGGGTAAGTCGCAATGGAGAATACTTTTTAGATATTGGATCAGTTTTATTCAAGACATACCATTAATTTTGAAAGTAAACTGCTCAAGCAAAGACATGTTCTCGCTATGTAAGATGTATAAGTTACCAATATTCTATGCTAACTTACTCACATATTGGTGCGAATTAAGATATGTTCATTTCCTGAATGTAAGAGACATATGTAATGAAATTCTGTGGTATAACAGTAACATCAAACATGAACGAAATGTTTTATTTTTTAAAAAATGGAATGTAAATGGAATCTGTAAAGTTAGTGATGTATTTGAAAACGGACAATGGGTGTCATGCAACACTCTCTTCGAACGTTTAGGTACAAGTTCTTTACTAGATAGCTTCAAACTCTCGAAACTAAAAAGGGCTTTTCCAAAAGTATGGGTAGAAAAAATAAGAAATGATAATTTTAATCCAATTGCAACAGAAGTTTCTGAAGGAATGTTTGAGATATCGAACTGCGACTTGATTAAATTAAGTCTCATGAAAGCAAAACACTTTTATATTCTTTTGAATGAGTTCAAAAAAGAAAATCCTCCGGTGTCATTGTTTTGGCAGGAAAAAATGCAACTACCAAACAATTTTGAGTGGAGGCATGTTTTAGATTTTAAATTAAAAAAGATCAAAGACAACAGAGTAAGACAATTTAATTTCAAACTGCTTCATAAAGTTTTACCCTTCAAAGACAATCTTTACAAGTGGAAAATTACATCCGATATGCTTTGTACATATTGCAATGAATCAGAATCGTTTATACACATTTTGCTAAGATGTCGCCAAGTCGCAGTCTTTTGGCAAAAAATTCATCATCTGGTAACGAACTTGTTCCAAAAAGATATTGAGTTAGGAGAAAAAATCATACTAATTGGTTTCAACATTGAAGACCCGGAGTTTTTGCTCATGAATGTATTAATTGTTTACGCACAATATGCAATTTATAAGGTGTATATACTTAATCATCTTAGAAGTAAATCCTTCAATAGTCATTCAATTTGGATGACTTTCAAAAGCGATTTTATGTTTTATGTCAATTGGCAATACAGAAACCAAGAACAATTAATAAGTAATATCAAGATGAATCTTTCTTAGTTGAACCTTTAACGCATTTATATTCATGCCTTGATCTTTCCCTTCCACTTTCCTTATGTTTCCCCTATTTTATTATATCAGTTTGTTGATTGTGAATATATATATATATTGTAATTAAACTCTATGTACAATGTTGTTAAAATGATATAAAGTAATAAAGTGCCTCGTATGAGGAAAAGAGAAAAAAAAAATAATAAGTAACATTTTATACAAAAATTGAGCAATTTTTTCATCAACCTTCAACAATGTTACTGAGTCACTGTTAGGATCCGTGAAAGGAGAGAAAAATTTGTTGACATGACAATTTTTTTTTTTTTAAATTGTCCACGGATTGATGTTTCCGTATATAACTCGTAACAATCCGTAATTATCGTAAAGCGCTTGTAAACCACTCGCAACAACACGTAACCATCCGTACACTGCTCGCAAGAATCCGTAATTTTTTTGTAACGATTTGTTACGGCTTGTTTACGATTTATTTACAGATTATAACGAGTGCTTACGTGTTGTTTACGATTTCATTCGGGCCGTGTTACGATGGCTTTACGGATTGTTACGAGTTATTACGCGCGGGAAGTATACTCAGCCGATGTGCAATTTTTGAACAAAGTAGTCGTGAACATGCGTGCTATCGCACTAGCACGATTAGGTAGCGCATAGGGCGCCCATAGTTCACGAAGTGTTCACGAACGTTGCCAAACAAAGTTATCGTGCCAACATTTTGAACATTTTGAAAATTCTGTCACGCATTTCACACACGGCCAACATCCCCCCGCATCCGCCCGCACCTCTCGCACGCTACCACGAACACTTCCTGCATTGACACGCAAAAGTATGTGTCTATGCGCAAACCATAATGCAGGAAAGTGTCAACGAGGCATATTGCCCCGGTGACACTTGCCCGCATTTGGGTTTGCGCATAGTTTGCGCATAGACACATACTCTTGCGTGCCAATGCGGAAAGTATTCGTGGTAGCGTGCGGGAGGATGCGGGCGGATGCGGGCCGTGCGTGAAATGCGTGACAGAATTTTCAAAATGTTCAAAATTTTGGCACGACAATTTTGTTTGGCAACGTTCGTAAAAACTTAGTGAATTATGCGCTCCCTATGCGCTGCCTAGTTGTGCCAGTGCGCGCATGTTCACGAATTAGACGTGACCCTGCGTGCCACTAATTGGCACGCATTGGCACGCCACAGAGCGGGGCAGTGCGGGACCAAAATGCGGGCAAGTGTCAACGAGGCAAGACTACACTTTAAACCCAATGCTGGGATTCAGCTTTTGCATAACATATCAGGGCCCCGTCTTATAAAGAGTTGATATTAATCGCAACTATGTTAATAAGAAACAGGAGACAGCAACCTTGCGATTGATTGGAGGACTTATGATGGATCAAAATCACTTGCAATTCTTTATGACACGGGGCCCAAGTCTATATGCCCTCTGAGAAGTTTGCACGACTTTCGTTCGCGCATAGTTTGCGCATAATTTGCGCATTGTTTCGTGCCACATTTTTACCACAACGGGAAGTGTTCGCGGAACATGCGGGAGGATGGGGGCCAATGCGGGACAAGGCTTTAAATTAGTGGCAAAATTTCGAAAATGTTCAAAATTTTGGCACGACAAATTTGGTGGACGACTTTCGTGAACACTTCGCGAACTATGCGTATCCTATACGTATCCTACCCGTGTCGGTACTGACCGGTGCGTGCCAATGCCCGATTGGCACGCAAGTTTAGGACCAGTTCACGACGGATTTACGAATAAATTTCTCATAATATGCGCATCGGCTGCGCATACTTCCCGCACAGTTTTCACATTACGTGTGCAAGGTCTACGCATGCGCATGCGACGGCACAGAAAAGAAAGGAAATAGGAAAAGAAAAAGTGACCGCTGAAGGCATCTCGTGCCAATCATTAAACATGTCCTGGATTAAGACAGTGGTAATAGGCTTAATAGATAGCAATATCCTCTGTCTTTTGCAAGATTTGAAATTGTATATGGGAAACAATTATTTTCGGGAACTGGCAGTTAAAACAAAGAACCTTTTTGGAAAGAAATGTTCATGCCTTATAGTACGCTTTTGTTCATGCATTTCTTGCCAACCCTTACGGAATAATGATTACATTAAAATAGGCAATATCCCAATACATAGTTAAAAATTGTGTTAAAAGGGAGTTCGTTTTGTCAATGATATTTTAGAGACAAATGGTGATTTTATATTTCTCTCTGGAACATTTCCAAGAAAAGTGTAATATTCAAATAATTGTTCTTTTTTATCGTAGATTACGCGATGCAATAGAGAATGGTTTAACAATTGTACTATTTTTAAATGTTTTGAAACGTATTAAAGGATGTTTACATATCTATGCAACTTTATTAAAGAGAAGGAAGGAGTATGTAAAAGTTTTCTTAAATGGAAATGTATTTTAGACCTGAATGAAAAAAGTTGGGAAACATAATTGTCCCATGGATTTAATTGTACCCTTGATGTTGGCTTACGATTGCTTCGATTTAAGGTTTTGCAACGCATATTATATACGAACGATCTACTGTTTGAAATAAATTTAGTCCCAAGAAAAGAATGTACATTTTGTACAGATTGGAATTGTTATACATGTGTAGCTTGTAGTTACTTGCTCCCTCTATATAGAAAACTTTCCCAATCGGCGCCTGTTGGTCCCCCGAAATAATGAGATAGCCACCTATCAGTAACCTCGCTGTGTGGTCTTTTTTTTTGGTAAAATGAATTTATTGATAAATATATGCATTTGAATAAATCAAACAATCATACACAATCAATTGAAATAACATCGTAGCATCTTAACATAGTTCAAATCAAACATGTTTCGTTTTCTTCAATAACAGTGTTTTCAAAAATGCATAGCCTTTTTGTTTTACAGTTCCTTTCGATCTTTAATCGATTGTGGATTAGTCTTTTGAAAATACAAAGAATAGAGACTTCATGAAACATGAGTTTGCGATTTTCTGCTTGCATATATGTTAAATAAACTGCGTATTTTGCACATATCATAAGAAAATTTAAACTCCTCGCTGTGTGGTCTAATCCCTTCCGGCCCAGTACTATTGACATATTTGGGATAGATTGCAGCATTGGACATATACTGGAACATTTTCATTACGAGATAAACTATTTGGTTTAAGAAGTTCAAATAATTATTCATTGAATTGTACACTGATTTTGGTGCGACAGATGGTGTATACTTGCAAAATAAAGAAACAACTGCCCGACTTTGATAATATTAGAGTTTCGATTATAAATTATTTCAAAAAGAAAAAGTATATTGCATATTCGAATTGTAGAAATAATAAATTCACAAGAAAATGAATTATTGAAAATTTGTTACTTTTCTGTCGACTCAACAGGTAAACAATACTTGTATCCTGAGAAGCCAGTTTTATTTATGTTATACACGTTAACTACATCGAATATTCATTTAATTTGTTGCAAATGAAACTCAATAAAATTCCTGTGGAGGGAAAAATATGGAGAAAAAAAATCTCGTGACAATGCGTGAATAATGGCGTAAACAATACGCAAGTATGTCGTAAACGTGACGGGACAATGCTTATCATCATGTTACACATTGGACGAACGATACGCGGTCTTCGTGCAACTAAATGTCACGCACTGTCACGCAAGTGTCAGAGGGACATAACAATCGAAGTAAGTCCTTTTCTATGCGATTTTGAATCTAGGGCCGAATTCACCTGAATAACTACGGGCCATTTTGATTACTGTTTACCTTATAGCTGTAGGGTTTAATCATTTATGTTGCAAATAAATAAGAATGTATCAATTAATCAATGAAAAATCAATGATTCGATGTTGTTTCTTCGTAGAACCCGTTGAAACACAAGTCTTGTTCTACGGCGCACCGCATGAGGTTGCTAGTAATGGGACAGTCGTGGTTTACGTGCATCGTGGAAATCCTAATTATCTTGATGTAGTCTGCTTTATCACAAGTCTGTGGTTAGGACCTCCTCGACTGACAACTCCTCTTGTGAATGACGGAGACCTATGGGTAAATTCATTTCAATTTAAAGTGCTTTCATGGTAAGCAACATTTTGTTAATATCAGGCATGGAGATCAGACAACGAGACACCACCATACGTGACTTCAGGAAAGTATACAAAGGCCACTATTTCGACAGCATACAAGAACTCAATTTTCGATCTCATGGGCTGTCGTTGTATTAGATGTCGCAACATTTAAATAGAGAGGGAATAAAAAGAAGATGCAAATATATTTTTTCCCAATTGTGTAGAAATGGTAGGATATTAATTCTCAGATTCGGGCTTAATTCATGTGACTCGAGTATAATTATATGGGAATGTTTTGAAAAATGTCAGTTGGTCATATCTCTCCATTATCTTTCAGGATTGGCCCAGGTTGTATACTGATACAAAACGGTTGAATCCTATCTCTACTGATTTCTCTGGCATGTATACATGCAATGGGTCGTCATCATTTCACAGCGTACATGTGCTGTTTAAAGGTAAGTATATAATTATGAGAACAATTAAATGATATGATTACAAACAAAAACACCCACATCCACACGTACCAACAACAGAACCGTAAAACCACAATGGTACCAACACACAAACACACTTTCACAAAATGAAAACAAAGGCAGAAATGCTGGTGACGCACATGTACATGTACACGGGGCAGACCAGTGAGTACATGGGTATGCTGGGCACGGTAGTCTGCACATATAGTCTCATTCACTGATACTTCATAAACATGAAGAAGAATTCAGCCTCGAATAAAATGAAGACTGTGTCCTTGGTGTAATGTTATCATTGTTATATATTTTGTTGTTAAATGTGAATGAATGTAATTGTGATAATAATATCTTAAACTATGAATAATAAAACATAATTAAATTATATGTCCTTATACTGCAGCCTTTAACTTAAAGGCCCTCTAAAATGATGGGAGCCTCAAGAATTTGATGGCAAACTTCCACTTCAATGTTATAATGATGTGCAAGAGGATGTCATTTAACACACACATCTGCAAGGATCTTAGAAATAAATGTGTTTGAAGAGGAAATGTTTTTAGTACGACAGAAAACTAAAATATTGTATTCTGTCATCAAATATTGGTCTTAAAATGTTTTTGTTGTTGAAAATCCTTGCAGAAGTGTTTGTTAAATGACATCTTATTTCACATCTTTATACAATTTAAGTGCGATTTTGCCATCAAATATTTGAGACTCCCAACACTTTAAAGGTTGAAATAACCCTTAAAGGCATTGTTCAACGATGCGAAATCTGAGATGCATAGCCCTGCGTGTTATCAGCATCTGAGATATGGTATAATATTGAAGTCCTAAAAAAATTGCGTTTCAAAATGATCATGAAGTGCCTCAAAACAGTAAAAATCTTTGTGTGACCGGTTTTACCATACTCATTTTCCCAATAGACTGTAGTGGTATAAAAACCGGTGGGAAAACGTTTTTGGAATTTCGAACTTCCAATCATAACTATCTTGATAATCAGACGGGCAAATCGGCTTGTAAACGTCATGGGATTCCTGACTGACCTAAAGGTTTATAATTATGATTGCAGCATGAGCTAAATCCAGGATTTTGTGTAGAATCTGAGAGAAAAAATACGCAAATCCCTTTAATAGGCCTATATTGAGTGAAATTATGTCCTTCTCTTGACCGTGATATAGCTGCTGAATGCGACGTCCCTGCGGCTCCAGAGCACGGGAGGTTACTAGATGGTTCCAGACAGCAGGCTCGAGATATCTTTCCAGCTGGTGCAACGGTTTCATTCGAATGTGAAGATGACTACAGCTTGGTGGGATCTAGGCAAATCACATGTGAGAAGGGTCAATGGTTGGATGATCCTCCCGTATGTACAGGTATGATGGGGAGCCTTATGTTTCCGCACCTAACATTTCATTTAAAAAAGACAATAGAACAAAAATCCAGTAAAATCGAATAAAAACAAAATCATTTTCACGAGAAAATGCGGCAGTGTCATTTAACACTGCAGAAAGAAAGGTTCTTATATATATATATATATATATATGTATGTCTGCGCACTCACTTTACATGGAGTTTAGCTATTTTAACGAGATGGTTTCTTACTAGTCTTGTGCAATATAGCATTGCAAAAAAGGCTGTAATGTGATTTTTTTTTTCTTCTTCTATTCTGAGCTACTTTTGTTTCTATGTTAGAATATAATGTCTGTTTGGAGCCAGAAGGGCATTAACTCACATAGTTTAACACATACTAAACTCCCTATTGGCTCTCAACAGACGATATTCACCAGATGAATATGACTGTCACATAACTTTCATAACTTGAATATCATAGGAATATCATAAGGACCACACTGTTTGATATATAAAAAGGAGAACTTATATTTCGGGCAAAGGGGACAAGTTAACATTTTTGAGACAATCATTTTACATTCTTTGGTTTGGTCAATAATTTTTCATTCAGAGCCCTTGAAAAATATGCCAGATACATGTACATGCGTATATGGGCAAAATTGTGTGCACACACTGCATCCAAATTGTGTCTCTTGACTATATTGCATTCTAAAGGGGAAAATGAGTTTTAAAATACTTAAATTGGCAACATTTAGTGAGATTGTTTTTCTTTTGAAATTTGACACTTTTTTGTTTCAATAACATTCTTGCCCATGTATATTGTTTTCAGAGACGATACATTTTATTCTAACAATGTAGCACTAAAAGAAAATACTATTGTTGCTAATTCGAAGAACAATATGAGATTACTTTAGCCCTAAACTAAACTCTGTCCTGAAAGGGTTAATATATAGCCTAGGAAGCATAGTAAAACATATCTACATTGCAACACGAAACTTTTCTGGTTTGTAAACAAGCGTGATTTTTATGGCAAGAAACTTTCACAAATAGCAAAAATCAGGATTTTGTCAGTCGTGATTCAATTATGACACATCATAAAACTTTCATGTATCGTAACCTCTAACATTCACAAACACTTCATTTGTGCAAAATTTCCTGATTTCACAGTACCAGTAATCATTTTTGTTTTCCCTTTGTGTAAATACAATCATATTTATGTTACCAATCCTAGTGTTTTTATATATTCAAATGATATGTTTCAGAAGTTGCAGCAATAATTTTTTTTGAATAAATGGTGGTCACTGCTGATACATGTATTTGGAAGTATTTTCTTTCATGTTTTAATTTGCAGTCCTCCCTTCTTCCGGTGCTGTCATTCGAGGTATCGTCGAGACAACCGAGAACTACACCGCAGCATTAGAGGATACCACATCTTTGGCCTACAAGAAATTTGAAAAAAAATTCATTGATGCGGTAAGGACCACCCCCACTGGTAACCAAACATTTGCTCCGATTACAATTGCTGCTCGAGCCTTGGTTGTCAAACATACAGGGTTAGGGTTAGGTTTAGGGTTGGGCAGAGTGTGTGTCCATGGTTTTAGTAAGGACTTTTGTGGTTAGTGTAGCCTATATTGACCTCAAATGAATTTTCACCAGAGGATGTATCGTTGAACATCCCCGTTGCTCTGACTCATCCCAATTGAGCCACCGTCCAATCCTAGTTTTGTGTAAAAAATATGTGAAATAGCGATTCCGTTTAATAATAATAATGATAATAGTGGGTTCTTGTATAGCGCTCATGTCAGTCAGATTTGACCCTCCTGGCGCTGCCAATCTATTTCATTCAAAAACAACAATTCTTTGAAATCCAACTGTTAATAAAATAATAAATGGCTAAAAGTCATGTCGTATGGGGCACATGTTCACACATTGCACGGAATCGCCCAAGCGGTGTTTAACAAGTTTATGGTAAAAGTCATTTTTTCTTGATGCACTTAGATGGACTAAGATCGTGGTTACAGTGAATACCCCTGAAATCAAGACCAGGGTTTTACAATGAATAACCTTGATGAGAATGCTCTTTAAAAAAAAAGATGGGAAAATATTATTTTCCCTTAAATTAGAAAGTTAATGTTGTTTTTTCTTTCTTAAGAGATTCAGCCTTTATCTGTTGCTTTATCCTTTTTTTTAAATTGTAGATTATGCGTTTCTATGCGCAGAACCACCCAGAATACATAGCATACCATGAAGACACGAAAGTGACTGATTTTGAGTGAGTATATTTCTAACACACTACATGTACTTCTATCATATTAAAGAAGGTTTATTATCGACTTTGTCATATACTCCACCAATGAAGAGTATATTGCCTTTTACATGTGCTGATATAACTCGAAAGATATTTGAGGAAATTGGTTCATTCTGAAAGCCAAGTTCGAAGAATTTACATATCCACTTATGTATTGTGCATAGTATTTATGCAGGATCAGTTGATCATACACTTGTATGATCAGCTGGTCCTGCGTAGCTATTGTAGAATGCCCTTGTTCCGTCTTTATTATGCCACTCTATTTGTTTAAGGCGGTTTACTGCATCGAGTGCGAATGAAACTGTAATGTTTATACAAATGTTCGCATATATATGTATATATATCTCTATTGGAAGATAGCCTATATACCATATCAAATTTTCCAAGTTTCTATAATACATATACTCTATATGATGCTAGTTTTGATTATTATTCATTGATCTTTGATAATTTCATTCAATTCTTCTCACAAATAGAAAATCCGGGAGAAAAGCTATCGTTCACTTTGAAGTCCACTTCTCCCAATTGGATAACGATAGCATATTGCCAGATGCACACACGGTACTACTGGATCAAGTGAATACTGGCCAGTTGGGCCCATTTTCTATTACCATGGGCACTGTTACAAAAACAGAAACCTAAGTAAGTATTTTCATGCCTCTGCCCACCGAAGGTGGTGCCGCAGGCATTATGTTTTTCGGGTTGTCCGTCCGTATGTCCATTCTCGTTATCGCGATATCCCAAGAAATTATTGATATATGAACTTCAAACTTGATGATACTATGTTTTACTATATGAAGATGATCTGATCAGATTTGTGGGTAAATAGATCAAACGTCAAAGAGGTCAATTTCTTATATTACAGGTTTCATCCTCTTTATCACAATATCAAGAACCATTGGAGGTATTAGCCTCAATGTTTATTATATTTAAGTTAAGTAGGTCAAAGGACAAAGAGGTCAATTTCTGAAATTACAGGTTTTTAGCCGTGCTATTGCAATATGTATACATGGTGCCTGTATTACTATAGGAAGATGATCCAATCCTTTTGGGGGCTAGTAGGTCAAGATCATAGTCGTCGGTTGACCTTATTAGGTTTTTTTTTATTGTGATATCAGTTTCACAAATAATTCCATCCATTTCCTATGCTTAATTAAGAGTGTAGGCATATAAGAGACGCAGTCGCATTTGTCTTGTTTGTGATATATTAGCACAAAGTAACGTTTGCTACAAAGCTTGCCACACTGATTTCTCTTGCAGTAGATCGGAACAGTGAGAACTAGTTCATATGAACACGTATTATGTTATATTTTGTTTCGTATGCGTGAACAAATAATATTTTTGAGAATAAAAGGTAATCATTTCAGAAGCCTTTGAATCTCCAGATCGGCAGGTCATGGGCAAAGGTGTCATCGAATATTTCAAGTGGGTGAGGAAGAGAGGGAGTTGGGGAAAGACGGACATGATATTTTTTCTACAATTTATTAAAATAAAAAAGGCATATTTGGTGGAATGCCATAAAAGAGAGTAAATGATGATGATTATCGACCATTTTTTACTCTAAAGTCATAGATTTTAGGAGGACATAGTAATAGGGAATTTGCTATTTGCTATTTTCCAATTTTACATGTTGGGATCTGTTTTATGAGTTTTTTTAGTTTTATTCTCTTCTATCTCTTTCTCCCCCCCCCCCCCCATCTCTCTCTCTCTCTCTTTGAAATAGGTTGGCTCTGCAAGCCACTTGTGCCAACAGTTTTCATGTTTAGCAGCTTACGACTTCAACTAGTAAAGCCGCCGATCAAGGATAACAGATGAGGTGTCGAGGCTCTCACTTGTTCAAGATTTGACAAGCTACATAAAAAATATGTCAAGTAACAAGTCCCAAACTGAAGTACCGATGGGAAGTGATTTAAAGCATTCTAATCAAGATGTAATGGCGATATCCCCTGGCTATTCTGTGATTCCATACAAGATACTATAAACTGTATTAGGGGAGCAATATGTAAAAGGAAAAAGAAAAATAAAGCATGCAAAATTAATTTTGGCTTTCTGTTCATTCTTGCCTTTTACTTCATTATTAGCGTAAAGTATGATGAAAAGCTTTTGAATATCCGTATTTAAAGCTTTTCATTGTCTGAAATTTACCAGACAAAATCAGATAGTTTATAACCTTTGTAAGAATTAGCTAAAAAATATCTCTGTTTACCATTGTGTAAGAGTAACTGAATGAATAATCGATGATTTTTTTTTTGCACATGCACATAATTTGTGATTTAGAAAAATGTTAGTAGATGTGCTGGTAATTATATTATTGATAATACTGCGTGCTGTAGATATGATTCGAATAAGACCGAGGCATTGTCTTCATAAGAAAATGCCTTTTCCAGCGTGAATAAGAGTATCAGCTTCACTCTATAACGCGTATGTAACAATAATAGATACATTTGTAATTTGTCATTTCTTTATCTGTAAATGTCCTTTGTCGTAGATGAAGATGAAACACAATGCTTTAGCTAGATGTATCCTTGCTCATTTCTAAGTTACAAGCCCAAATTGGACTACCATAAATCCAAACAAAATTGTAAAATCAATTTTCCTGATTGTGTAAATGATGGCCAATTCTGCAGAAAGAAACTTTACAAAGAGCAAACATTTGTTGTGTCATTTCAATCATTTTGTGGAATGAAACTTTCAAGAATCTGAATTACTTGCAAAATTCACAAAATTTCATGCACGCACAAATTTATGGCTAATACTTCTTTTTAAAGGTAATACAACGTTTTGGGAAATTTTGAAAATTGGGTGGATAGTGATTCTTTACAATTTTGATATATTTGGATGCCCCTGTGGATGTATTATAGGCACTAGAAAATTTAGCCCCTAAAACACTCCTACATTTGAGACAAATTGAATATAAAAATTTACCGGTGCTCCCGGTAAATTTGTATAAATTTCAAATAGCGCCTACGGATGTTCAATGGTAGCTACGACCATGAACATCTCACAATATGTAGTTGTGATATATAATTTCCGAACGAGAATAGCTAATCGGTCGATTTTAGTCAACAAACATTGTTTTATAGCTTAATTAATATCTTGAACTTGAGAGGGAGCTATACAACATAAATAGTTTATTATTTACAATTTCATAACTTAAGACTCGATTTCAACTGCGACAACGATCACTGAATATTGTAGGATCGCATTGGCTTCCAATAAGTTCATTTGAACCAAAATTCAAGACCCCATACCAAAAATTTGTAATAACTTTAAGCTTACAAAGTGATGAAATATGAGTATATATATCTAGGGTGTAGGATGTAGAAGAGGCCTTTTTTCAAATTCTATCGACTATTTTACTTAAAATGTACAGAAAAGTCTTAGATAAGAACACATTGATAAACGGCATAGCATGCTGCTCTGCTAAAGTCAAAGCAAATTTTATCAAGCATAATTGTTTTCAGTTCACGTCGAGATCATATTTATCCCACCGAATGAGTTTTGATGGGAACGTAGAACAGGCTATTAAAAAAAATTGTATAGTCAAAATGTTTTTAAAAATGTCAACCTTTCGCTGTGCTTTATTGATATCATTGATCTGATGGAATGTTCTTTCAAATGTTATTTGTATGAAATACTTTACTTTTAATACCTTCCTTTATTTTCCAAACATAGTTTGAATAAAGTAAGGTATAAAGTGTACTATAAGATTGACTTTATTGATATTTATTTTTGTCATACAAACAACTATTAGTTGTCATTTAATGAATAAGTTTAAGTACATTTAAAAGGATTTCAAAGTTTATGAAGGTAGCATGCCTAATCTAATGTAAGAGGCTGTTCACACCGGCAGAGATAGCGCGCGCTAGACCGCGCTATCTCTGCGGTTTGGAAGGTACAACGTCGTTTTGGTCCGCCCAACAGCGAGCCACGGCGAGCCAAAACGGCGTGCCACTGGAACACCTCTTGGGGGTGGTCCACGAGAGAGAGCGCGGTCTAGCGCGCGCTAGAAAAAAGGGGGTGCTACGATAGACCGCGCTATCTCTTTGCGGTGTGAACAGCCTCTAAGAGATATTATTATTATCATCATGATTATATTATAGTTGTGCTTTGAAGGTAATATGTCCCATTTGCAGACCTAACAAATGAAAAGGTTAAATTCCAACGGCATTTGAAAGACATTAAATGACGCTATACACACATACCAAACACGAAATGCAACACGGGCTAACTATCATCTTCCTCTACCCAGGACAGTTTCGCCCAAAAAACAATTTCATACACAGGACTAAACCACTGAAGCAACATTGATCTAAACCTCAAACAGCTTAAAAACTGTGGCAGCTTTAAAAAAACATATCAAATTGTTATCATTGAATTCGTACGTGTAATATAGCACAACTATACAATTCTTTTCCCGACTGTGACTCCCGACCTTGAACATTCTATTCTAAAAATTCCTTTTCTCTCTTCTTCTTCTTCTGACCCCCGTTCTTTACCTTCTCTTCCTATTTCTGTTTTTCCTTACATCCATCATCCATATCATTATAATATTTTTGTCTGTATACTTTGCTTTATTATTTTTTTACTTCTACCTTATTATGAATGACACTGTGTCAACAAAATTCTGAGGAACTTAAATTCTACAAGCTATCTGATTTTTAATAAGTTCCTTTTTTCACATGTAACTTTGAAATTATTTAGTGTAAATGCGATACAACATATGCTGTGTAGATGTCTTTATTGTTCAGAAATATCAGTTTCGTAAATATCCTATGTTTTGTTAATGTATTTGTTTCTTCATGTGAAATAATAGAAACTAAACTGAAAAACTGAAAATACTTATTTAGAACTTCCCTCACAACGAAAGGGCTTGAAAATGGCTTTAAGTGGAAAAATAACGACTATTAGTTGTCGAATCGACTTAAGCGATTGCAATCACCTAAGTAATAATCTGATTTTTACACCCTTTTACCGAATAGTCGTACGTTTTGTGCTGTACAAAGATTCAATCAGTTTAATTTGGCCATTACAAGTAGTGGGTAATTGATGTAGATAAATGCTCATGTACCTGTTACTTCTCATTTTATATATGCTTTTTACCAAAGAAAAAAAGGTGTCAGTCAGTCACTCAAAAGTGTCTGGCAGTGTAGTCTAGAAGGTAAACGGGTTTCTTTGCATAATTTGAATACTAGGATACTGCTAATGTTTAAATTTCACAGATAGGACATACATGTACATGACATATTCATAATTCCTGCAAAGTTCTACAAAATTTGATGTTGGTTGCAAAAGGGACATAGTATCTTTAACACAATGGGATCGTTTATGTTTTAATTGGTGGTATTATTATGAAGGGACCCTTCCCTTAAAAGACTCCTATAAGTGTCCTGGTTACGCTTATGATTTGTGATTTGATTTTGCCTATGTCTTTTGGTATGTATTCCATTTTTAGTCGAAACTTTTTATCAGCTATTATATTTGCTTTTATACAAACAGCTGTATCATATCATCTATTATCATATATGTACATGCATATTTCCTGTATGTATGATTTTTTTTTACTTGATTGAGTATGTAACATGATTGTGTAGCAAAAACAAACAATGTATTTGCATAGTAGTATTTAGACATATGAGATAAGAGGAAATTTGTTTCTGAAATAATAGTTCAAGTTTAGAAAAGAAAGGCTTGAAAATTCTTTGAACACGATGTACATGGATAATTCTGATAGTAAAAACTCTGATATAAAATACTATGTTGAAGTCCGTATCAAATGCATTTTTGTTGCAGTTGCTACTTTTAATCTAGGTGCATTTAATCGATGGGTACCAGTTAGAAGGGAATTCCATAAATGCTCCAAGCCCTTCATTGTTACTGAGCTAAAACTGTGGTAATATTGAATCCAATGTTATTGTAGGAACGGTGACGTTATGAGTACTACTAAGCCCAACTGCAATGACGACTCGACAACAATGCCCTTGCGATGATACCAATGAGTGGTTCAACCTTTAATAAAAGATAGAACAGATAAAACAAATTATCAGCATGGCTGATATACATATGCATCACGCAATTAAAACAATCAAGTTTGCTGCAACAAACTGTCTTCCAAATGCATAGCACCGAATAATAACTATAAATGACATTGTTATCCTTGATGCCTGTATCAAAATATTCACTCCATATTTTGTATGCCTACCCTTGTCATGCAAATTGACCCGACCTACTTTCTGTCATTTTGTGCTAAAATTTCCCTTTTACCTCAAATGCTACTTTCCCTAGCTAACTAAATTTAGACCATCATCTTCTGTTCATAATTAAGTCATAATCGTATTCTGTCATACATTAATAGAGCTTCTTGCTCATTCATAATATCATAACCTTACTTGGATATTTCGTACTTTTCCAGCATGAATTATCTTATACGCTACTTACTAGGTAGAGCACTCAAAAAAATAATACACATAAGACATTCTTTATTTTGGTGTCATATTAAAGATATCAATGATATATTTATTTTGCTGCAAAAATTTTCAAATTCTGTCAAGGCATTCCTGAGATATGGTCTTTTGAAGATATCGTAAAATCATTCAAAAACCTGCCGCAAATAGCAAATTATGGCAAAAATGGATTTTTTACATGTTTAAGGGTGTTTTTTTGACATAATAGAGTAATACATGGTCTTAAAAATGATATGTATTGTGAAACCAAAGTGAAATAAGCATGAAAAATAAAATTCAAGAACCAGACTTGTTGCATTTTGGTGCACCGGATTGACAAAAACCACATTTTGTTCAATTTCACCAATCCGCAGGTTTGGAAATGTTCAAAAAACGACTAAGTCCAGCTAATTAATATGCGTAAATGCAATATCTCAAGTTTTAAATGAGTCTGTTTGATACAACTTTGTGGCAAGCTTCAACTAATGAATCCCTATCCATTTATATAATAAGATTTATGAAAACTAATTAATTATGCAAATGAGCTGATAATTAGCTAATTACATATTCGCAACACCGTTATGCAAATTGGGCAATGTTTATATATTTTTTTTCCTTCTCACCTAACTTCCTGATCTATATAAAACAACTGTAGAAAGTTTGAGCTTTGTAGATGCTTGCATTTGCTGAATAAAATGATGAGCTGAACTTTCGCAGCAATTTCCAGTAATGTTTCACTCGATGGATTAAAAATCGGAGCATTTGGCAAGAAACTATGGATGTTAAACTACTGAAAACCAGTTTAGGATTTGAAAATCGGGCAATATTTACGGATTTATGAGCATTTTCTGAAAATTCATTCAACTCAATGTAACTTCGTGTAGAAACAAAATTCCGATGTACCTGTTGCTGGGGTAGCCAGGGAAAGGTCACAGGTACCATATATGGTAAGGTCATTGAAATCCAGTGAATGAAACATTGGTGGCAAGTCCATTTTTTACAGGGGAGTTTTTTCCAATCTGCCGGGATATTTAGTGCAGTATTGTCCGTGGTGATTGCACACACCCACTGGCCCAATTTGCGCGGTGTCAAAAACATCCCTTTTTAAAAAAATAAAATAAATACTTTCCCTAATACCCACACCCACAGGATTTTAAGTATAGTGGGTTAAAAGAATGACTGAAATATCTGTGAAAAAATTATGTTGTTACATGTTTTTGAATTTTTTAAATCATAAGTTGAAAAATGGCTTCTCAGCATAGATTTGCTATTGCTGTGCACTGACGTGCACGGCAGAATGTATATGCATGCACTGTGATCAGCCTACTACTTACACCAAAACTTATATGTGGTACATTTACATTCAAAACGTATGGATGTTCTATGATTCTAATCTTATTTCATACATCACATCAATCCACCATTATAATCACCATTAACATCAGGCAAAAAAGTAAATATTGAGCTATCATAATATGCAGTGATTTTCTACTTACAACATTGGGCTGTCTCAGGAAAACAAAATTACAGTAGACTTTTCAGTGTAATAAACATTCAGTGTAACGTAAATCAGTAGCTCCACAGAATCAAATCCCGCCCTCTATGACCTGAATGCAGAATCCACCTAAAAACCCCGCTTCCGACGTCACAATGTCAAATTGGGAAAAACTCGTATCAACATCCCGGCCCCTTAAATTAACCGAATACTTTGAATTTACCAAACCTTTCACTGCCAACATCTATAACAAAACTGTCACTCTCTTGAAATTTTCAAGACTTCGATAAATACAGTCCCTTTAAATCCAAAAAAGGTGGTTGCTATGGAAACATATTTCCTAACTGAATAAATACAGTCCCTTTAAATCCAAAAAAGGTGGTTGCTATGGAAACATATGTCCTTACCGAATAGCAGAACACTAATAATATGACAATAAGGACATACTACCTGTATTTCTTTCCTTATCTTCTGATTACAAACTATTGTATTACCATCAGAATACTATCTTTAGAAACTGAATTCTAACTAGAAATGAGTTATGCTTCAATTCAATTAAACATTTCAGCAAGTCACTACGAAACACATCTATCTGTATAATATCACTGTAGTAAAGTCTCTTCTTGTTGAAGCGAATCTAAACCGAATCCATTTATGCGAAACTAGATGCTGTGTCCACAGAAGTTGAATGTTTCATGCTCAATGCTCCCTAAACTAGATGCTGTGTCCACAGAAGTTGAATGTTTCTTGCTCAACGCTACCTAAAGTAATCCCTATCTTGAATTGAACTGGAATTATTTTGTATCAGCTCTAAAAACAACAAATAAAATGGCTAACTTCTCGAAGTCGTCTATCGCGATTCCTCTTGCTCGAGAAGTAAACAAAGCTTCGCGATGGGTCTGACGAGTGTCGACGTTGCAGTCTTAACCTTCACGCTACGTACATATCCCCGCTTACCAGGGTACACTTCTAAAATGCGTCCCATCAGCCAGCAACACCTCGGCACAGTTCCGTCTGCGATGAGAACCACGTCACCAACCTGAAGATTGCGTTCAGGCTGCTGCCACCGCTGACGTTGCTGTAGACTAGGTAGATACTCCCTAATCCACCTCTTCCAAAAGAGATCAGCCAGGTACTGCATCTGCCTCCAACGTCTCCTGGCGAAGACATCTCCCTCAGTGGACTTACTCGGAGGTGGTGCTGAGGTCTGCTTCATGTGTAGCAGACTGCTGGGCGTGATGACTTCCAGATCTCCAGGATCATCAGAGACACGAGTAAGAGGCCTGCTGTTGATGATTGCCTCTACCTCGCACATCAGAGTGTGAAGCTGCTCCTCCGACTGACATGTCCTTAAATACTGCTCGTTGAGAAGAGCATGCAGTACTTTCCTGATCGTTCTTATCTGTCTCTCCCACACACCGCCATGATGTGAGGCCCCTGGCGGGTTGAAACTCCAATCTATACTGTGATTAGCCGTGAAGTTTGAGATTTCATCAACGTTCCAATCACTCAGTGCCTTCCTCAGCTCAGCTTTAGCGCCTACCAAATTGGTGCCATTGTCCGAGACCAACCTCTTTATTGGTCCTCTCCTGCTCATCATGCGTCTGATGGCATCAATGCATGAGCTGGTGTCTAAAGAATTGGCAACCTCGATGTGGATAGCTCTAGTTGTCATGCATGTGAATATCACGCCGTATCTCTTTCTTACAGAGCGCCCACACTTGATCTCATAAGGACCGAAGTAGTCCATCCCCACATGTGTAAATGCTGGCTCATCAGCTACTACTCGGAAGGCAGGTAGATCAGCCATCTTCTGCTTGCCGACCTTGGCCTGGTAGCGACGACAAGTTACACACTTGCTTAACAAGCCTCTCACCAGGACCCCAGCTCCCAGAATCCAGTAGTACTGCTTGAGTTCTGCCAAAACATGATTTTGGCCTTGATGTCCAACCTTCTCGTGTATGTGCCATACCAACAGTGCTGACACATGATGCCTTCTAGGCAGTATCACCTGATGCTTTGCAGTGTCTGGGATATGTGCTCGTCCAAGCCTGCCTCCTACCCTCAGTAGACCATCTTGCAAAACAGGATCCAACCTTGCAAGCCTCGACCCCTTCTTCACAGGTCTCTCTCGTCCCTGTGGATCTCTAACTCTCTCCCTTAAGGTTGTCATCTCCTCATCGAACGACTCGGTCTGAATATGCTGAAAGATGGAATTTTCAGCATAGTTCAAGTCCTCCACTGTCAAGTGTCTGCTCAATTCTTTAACTGGAGTACAGTTCTTTACATTCCTTCTAAGGGTTTCCTTTAACCTCAGCCACGAAGCTACCGCTCTGCGTAGTCTCGTCCAGGAAGAATAGTGCATGAAGAGCTGGTCGATGCACTTCTTGCCCTCACTTGTAGCAAAGATCTGGACTACAGGCTTCACCTCTGGATCGTCCTCTCTGATCCCATCCTTCTCTATGGGACATGTGGGCCATCTCTCCTCCGGCTGTTGTAGAAAGGCTGGTCCCACAAACCACTTCTCCTCATCTTTCAGATTAGACGGTGACATGCCTCTGGATACGATGTCCGCCGGATTCTCCGTTGTGCCAACATGTCTCCATTGGTCTATCTCTGTGGCATTGTGTATCATAGCCACCCTGTTTGACACAAAGACACGGAACCTTCTATGTTCATTCTTTATGTAGTGCAACACTATCATACTGTCAGTCCAAAAGTATGATTTCTTCACAGACCGGTATAGCTCTCCTCTTATCACGACATCCATATTCACAGCAAGTGTAGCTGCCATCAATTCTAGTCGAGGTATGGTAACGGTCTTTACTGGAGCAAGGCGTGACTTGGCCATGATGATACTGCTATGCACCTCTCCTTCCTCATTCTTCATCACTAGATATGATACAGCCCCGTAGGCTACTTCAGATGCATCAGAGAAGTTGTGGATCTCGTAATCAGTTACCCTGCCAAAGTCGTGGGGCTTGACACATCTACTGACTTCAACTCCTTCCATCTGTGGAAGTTCCTCAATCCAAGCCTTCCATTTCTTTGCATCACTGTCAGGGATAGGCTCATCCCAGTTCAGCTTCTTCCGGGTCAACTCCTGAAGAATCAACTTCCCTCTCAGTGCAAATGGGCTAGCATATCCCAAAGGGTCGTAGACAGAAGAAACAACACTTAAGAGTCCTCTTCGTGTTAAAGGCTTGTCCTTCACCTGAATCTTGTAGACAAAGCTATCTCTTTCTACATCCCATATCATACCAAGTGCACGCTCTATTGGTAGGGCATCAAAGTTCAGGTCGAGTCCAACCACTTGCTTGGCCCGATCTTGTACTGGTATGGTTTGCAGAACTCTTGTTGCTACTCATCCACTTAGCGAGTCGAAATCCACCCTTCTGCAACAAGGTTCTCAATTCTGATGCCAGTCTTATAGCTTCATCTTCCTCTTCAACAGAGACCAGGCAGTCGTCTACGTAGAAATTCATCTCTACTACTCTTGGTGCTTGTGTATTGCACTGATCTCCATAGTCCTTTGCTGTTTGCCGCATGGCAAACGAGCAACAGCTGGGGCTCCATGTACCCCCAAACAGGTGCACACACATCCTGTAGGTCTTAGGATCTTCATCCACTCTTCCATCAGGCCACCACAAGAAGCGAAGTACATCTCGTTCATCTGGATGAACTGTTACCTGGCGGAACATGGCTTCCACGTCAGCCATGATGGCAATTGGTGCTCGACGAAATCGAAGAAGTACACCAGTCAACTTGTTGGTCAGATCCGGCCCTTGCATCACCACATCGTTCAGACCAACTCCTAAGCACTTGGCAGCACAATCAAACACAATCCGAAGTTTGTCTGGCTTCTTCGGATTTATCACTGGGTGATGTGGTAGGTACCAACAAGTTCCATTTGGCGGTTGAGTTTCATCAACTTCCTCGGCGTAGCCCTTGGCAACTAGGTCAGCCATGCCCTGTGAATACTTAGCATGCATTGCCGTATCCCTGAGAAGTCGTCTTCTAAGTGAATGGAGTCTCTGCTGGGCCATCCATCTATTGTCACAAAGTGGCGGGGGTCGTTCTTTGAATGGTATGGGCAGTTGATAGTGACCTCCATTCATTACCACATTGTCCTCCCATAGCTTCAATACCTCTCGGTCCTTGACTGACATTCCTTTAGCATCACAATGGAGGGTTTCAATGCCTTCTAGAGACCAAAACAGCTTACATTGGTCTTCAAGGGATATTTCATCTGAGATATAGTGTGATGTTACAGCCATCTTCCTACCATCACTCTGAACCGGCCCATTCAGGGTCCACCCCAGCACTGTCCTTACTGCATAAGGGTCTCTTGGCTCGCCACGTCGTATCTCGAGAGGACAAATAAGCTCTGGATAATCTTGCCCAATCAGGAGATCCACCTGCAGTTTGGTAGTCGATGGAAAGTCGACATCTGTGAGATGTTGGAGTTTGTCAACATCCTCTTTCATTAGCAGGTGATCTGAGTTAATGTTAATGTCTGTCTTGGTATAGACTTTAGAGAGATTTACCATCCTGGATGATGACTTTGCTGCAACTTTCAGGCTTACAACACTGGTCTGAAGTTCGCTGTTGGCTCTTTCCAGAGTTGAGACAGACACTATACTGGACAATCCACTTGCTTTCACTCTTGCTGCCAACTTCTTGGTACAGAAGGTACTTGTCGAGCCTGAATCCAACAGTGCTAGAGTCTCTACACCAATATTACTGCCTGCCGCATAAACCCAGACAGGAACGATTGGCAATAGCACCTTCATGTTCCCGGCCCCTGTGACATGACTCTCAATCTTCTCAGGTGAAGGACCAACAGCTTCCTCTTGTGCTTGCTGAGGTTGTTCTGGTTTCTGCTGATGGAGAAACTTAGTATGTTTCCTGTTGCATCCGTAAACTGAACATACCCTCTTTAGTTTACAGTTTCTCGACATGTGTCCCTTCTCCAAACAGTTAAAACAAAGCCTGTTTTCCCTCACCAGTTTCAGCCGGTCATCTAGCTGCATTCGTTTGAACTTGTCACAGCCAAACAGACTGTGCGATTCCTTGCATATCACACACAGCTGTGGTGTCACATCATTGCCTGTGGCTGTCGTGGAGAAAGCACCCTTCTTCAGTCCTGTCGACTTCTTGTTCTGGGAGATGCCTCTACCGCCCTGATCCTTGGTAAGAAGCCTTCCGTAGACCGGATCATTCTCCTCGTCGGCTGCACCTTGGACAAAATCCACCAGGTCAAATATGTTAGGAAGTCTATCCTCTCGCCTGATTCTTCGTACCACACTCAGCCATCTCCCGCATAAGTATAGTGGTAGTCGTTCAACTATCTGGACAAGGACTAACTGTGGTGACAAATCGCCAATGTAACCCATGGCATCTAAAGTCAGTGAGCAAACTTGCAGTTCATCTGCGAATTCTCTTAGGGCCCTCTTGTCCCGTCCGGTGATCTTCCGCCCTCCGGTCACTTTCCTGATCCATGCATCAGCTATCATGAAGGGTGTACCAAACCTCTCTTGTAGCATGGCCTTCGCCCTCATATACCCTTCGCCAGATGGCATAATACTACAAGGCTGCAAGATTTTGCGGGCATCCCCTTCGCAGTAGTATAGAAGGCGGGTCAGTTTGGCACTGTCCGGGATACTTGTACAGTCTATTGAGTTCTCAAACGCCCTCCAAAATTCCCAATACTTAAGAGGGTTGCCATCATACGTCATCATTTGTGTTTGAGGCACATTAAGAGACTCCAATAATTGCCTCTGTTGTTTCTGTCCCTCCTGCAAAATCTGCAGCAACAAAGCCTCCGTTGGCTTCGTACTCTGTTCAACCTGGGTTGGCGTTGGCACTCCAGAGTCCAGCGGATAAGCCAACGTTTCATTCACTTCAACTGGATGTTTCTGAGGAGCACTAGCTTCATCCGACAATAGCCTATCCGCTTCATTCAAATAGACTTGTGTCTCAGCATCAGATATTTTCATCCTGGTATCCATATCTAGCTGAGCTTTACGCTGTTTCAAAGCTAACTCCTCCTTTTCCAGCGCCATCTTCTGTTTCAGTGCTTCAGCCTCAACAGCTAAAGCAGCTCTACGTGCCATAGTCCGCAGTCGCACTGAAGATGTAGTGCTCCCACACTGGCTGGCCGAATCTTCAGGACGGACTCCACCCTCAGGGTCTCCTTTGGCATTCTTTTGTCCAACAGTACTCATTGTAACAGCCTGTCTGTAGTCTGATGTGGACCTGGAAGCTGTTGTTGAACTGATGTAGGAACGGTGACGTTATGAGTACTACTAAGCCCAACTGCAATGACGACTCGACAACAATGCCCTTGCGATGATACCAATGAGTGGTTCAACCTTTAATAAAAGATAGAACAGATAAAACAAATTATCAGCATGGCTGATATACATATGCATCACGCAATTAAAACAATCAAGTTTGCTGCAACAAACTGTCTTCCAAATGCATAGCACCGAATAATAACTATAAATGACATTGTTATCCTTGATGCCTGTATCAAAATATTCACTCCATATTCTGTATGCCTACCCTTGTCATGCAAATTGACCCGACCTACTTTCTGTCATTTTGTGCTAAAATTTCCCTTTTACCTCAAATGCTACTTTCCCTAGCTAACTAAATTTAGACCATCATCTTCTGTTCATAATTAAGTCATAATCGTATTCTGTCATACATTAATAGAGCTTCTTGCTCATTCATAATATCATAACCTTACTTGGATATTTCGTACTTTTCCAGCATGAATTATCTTATACGCTACTTACACCAAAACTTATATGTGGTACATTTACATTCAAAACGTATGGATGTTCTATGATTCTAATCTTATTTCATACATCACATCAATCCACCATTATAATCACCATTAACATCAGGCAAAAAAGTAAATATTGAGCTATCATAATATGCAGTGATTTTCTACTTACAACATTGGGCTGTCTCAGGAAAACAAAATTACAGTAGACTTTTCAGTGTAATAAACATTCAGTGTAACGTAAATCAGTAGCTCCACAGAATCAAATCCCGCCCTCTATGACCTGAATGCAGAATCCACCTAAAAACCCCGCTTCTGACGTCACAATGTCAAATTGGGAAAAACTCGTATCAACAGTTATAATTATTCTTAACGTTGTTGTTGTTGTCATCATAATTATTATTATTGCTGTTATTTTTAATTTCAGATATTCTCGAGGTATGGTTCTGGTAATTACATGAATTTAAATTGTAGATTCAAATGTAATTGACACTAAATATCCATTATTACGAAAAAAAAATGATAAGTAAAAAAAAGTAAAAGCTGAGTATAATGAGCATATAAAGCCAAGAAATGTATGTAGTTATATTATACAGAACTTGTTGTTTCAGTGAATGTGATTTCTAGCAAGTGTTTGTTTGTTAAATACATTTTTAAAAATTACTGCATGATAAACAGTTCAGATTTATTGTATTATGGCCTTTTCTATTTCTTTACCAAAAATTCAAGATAGGCTTTAATTTTTTTCCTCTTTGAAATGTGCTACAAAATTAATATAATTTACTCATTTTGTATTTCTTCCAAATGCTCTAAAATGTTATGGCAATAGGCTAACAATGGCCGAAGGGGCACGTCCCTGTTTTTCAGTATATTTGGGGCGAAATTGGGGCTAATTTTAACATATTTTTGGTGGTCGGGGGGCACGTGTGTTGAGGTCTTAAAGTGTAACATGGTCTTAAAGTGTAACACGACCCCCTAGCTCCTTAAAAAAAGTCGCTGCGTGCGCGCGGCGCTTACGCACAGCTAGCTGTAGTTATCATGCATGCAAACAGCAGTATACTGCTCGCTTTCGTTCACTACTAGCTAGTTGCAGCAATTGTTCGACTAAAGTGTACCAATTCAACATTTAAAGCTTAATACAGACCGATAGGAAAGATTATGCCTTACATGAGTAGCTTCATAAGCTTTCTTTCATCCCATAAAGAGAGAGAGAGAGAGAGAGAGGGAAAGATTCAAGTGGAAAAGGCCGAAGATTGTCATTACCGCGAAGCATTTATAGACTGCGCTTCGACTGCGCTACATGCACAGCAGGCCGTGTTAATCGCCATTCGTTATGGGGGGACAAAGCCATCACCTACCACGTAATTCTGGCGTGTTTCATCAAGTGACTTCAGTCTATTAGCAATACCAGTTGCCATTAGAATGTGGAGATATCAATGTTTCTGTTTACATCTATCTAGCACATTTAACTTCTCTTGATGATGAAAATATGCCGCAAAGTAAGCCGCAAAGAAAAGAAAACAAATGAAAAAGAAATTGAAGAAACAGAAGGAAGGAAAGGAAGAAATAAAAAGGGATAAGAAAGAAAAAAGAAAAAGTAAAAAAGAAAATAAATATAAATAATAAATGAATAGAATATAGGAAAAAGAAACCAAGAAAGATAGAAATAAATTGAAAGACAATTGAAATGAAAAGAAGACGAAAGAAGAAGGGAAAGGAGCAAGATAATATTGATACCATGTCTTCACTTCTAGTCAACCTCTTGTGTGTTTTTTTTTATATAGGCCTGTCTACCCTTTTTTCCCTTCTTTCCTTTATCTTTTTCTTATTTTTTTCTCTAATCTTAAAAGTTATCTTGGTTTCTTATATTTTTCTTCCCTTACTCGTATACTGTGAAGAAATGATTTCATCCTATGGCGTATTTCATCTGGATTGTATGTTTGTCACAAGTTCATAAGTGCCCCTTATGATATCTGATAATAGCCCTTTTTATTGTTACCTTGACACGTGTCCCCTCTAATAAGTGCCTTTTACTTTTTGATATGTGCCACTTTCCCCTTTTTAATAAGAGCCCCTTCCCTTTCTCATAAATTCCCCTTTGACACATGCCTCCTTTACCTTTCTTGAAAGTACCCTTTCCCTCCTAATGGGTGCCCCTTTCCCCTTTTTAATACGGCCCCTCTCCTTTTCATAAATACCCCTTTTCATCTTTGATAAATGCCACTATTAAAATCTTATAGGTTCCCCTTTTCCTGCGACAAATGCCCATTTTTCATTATCATTAGTGCCACTTTTAAAAATCTCTGGTGAGAACCCCTTTTCAGGTGCGAGAAATGCCCCGTTTTCACCACTGATTACTGCCCCTTTTACTTAGACACATGTTCCTTTTCTTTTCAAATAAATGTCCTTTTTCCATCTGAGTGCTCCATTTTCATTTATCCATAACATGTGCCCCTATTTTTTAAGCGACTAAGAGCAACTCTTTTTCTTTAACCCCCCCCCCCCCCCCAAGCTTGTGTCTACGCTAGATCGCATTTATAGTTGATATAAGTGTGTTATATAGTTTTCAGTCTTTCATCATCGTGATTAAAATCCCAAGCTGTAAGTTTTCGCACAGCGACCTCACTTATCTTGAAACTTTTGCTTCCATGTCATGTAAGTGAATATTCAGATTGTGCAAAGTAACATTAAAAGTAGCTAATTGGACCATGCATGTTCAGTTAAAAGAGTCTGAGAAACAAATATTGAAATCATCCCTCATTATTGTGACCACAATGTAAACAATTGTATATTTTTGCTTTGAGATTTCCCTTTGTATGTGCCCTTTTTTCTCCCCAGAAAGTGTCTTTTTTTTGTCCCCCCCCCCCCCTGAATATATTGATTAGTTAGTTAATTCGGCGAGACATTGCTGCGGCCAGCTGGTTAGTTCGAGTGAACAGCATACAGCATACAGCTAGATGTATTATGCCAAGGCGCTGTGCGCATCGACTAATTTTTCAGGAACTTAGGCACCGTGTTACACTTTAAGACCATGTTACACTTTAAGACCTCAACACACGTGCCCCCTGTGCCCCTCCCCTGGATCCGTCCCTGGTACATGTAGTGGAACTGGTCGATGGGACTTGTATTTTTCAGACTTTGAAGGTCGACCTGTGTCGATAAACGCCAACATACTGCAAGACATTACAAATGCTGTTAAATAGGAATTTTATTAAGTTGACATTTTACTGTATTTCTGAAAATATTGCAAAGGTTCATATTGATTTTATCGGCACTGTTGCCTTGATCGATACAGCTCATGATCGATACAGCTCATTCCCTAATGATGTTGTTTTATTCTGAATATGATTTTTGAAGCTGTTGCAAAACAATGTAAATGGTATTTGTAATTTCATGCATGAATCCGGTGACTGGTGTTGTCTCTATACTTGTAATTACTCTGGCCAGTGGCGTACGCAGGATTTTTTCTTTGGTCCCGAAAATATGAAAATTTGGCCGACCGATATTTCGTTCAGTGGTGGGGAGGGGGGGGGGGGGTAATGTCACCCTTTTTGGTCACCTTTTAGCACAATTTTTTTATTTATTTTTTTATTTTTGTTAATTTAAAAATAAAAATGAGGGAGGGGGTTTCCTCCAAAATACACATATAAAACCATTTGAGGGGGATTACACCCCCTCCTTCCCCCGCGAACCCGCCTCACTCTGGCAAGAGTCTGTAGAAAATGCATGTTTCAACTATAAAATCAACTTGTATCTACCATGTTAAAAGGTAATTCATTGTGTTGGTCA